CAAAAAGGAAGACAGCACTGCGGCAATTGAAAAATACTAAATCTCATCTCTTGGTCAAATTTGATTTTGTTGGAGGAATACGAACTTAGAATTTGCTTTGAATAAAACAAAAATGTCGAAGTATTTTTTATTGGGGAAAATTTAGAGTGTTTGCCTTTTTGTGGATAGAAAGATGAATTGAGTTGAATAAATTGTGTAATATCTATAAAAAAATATTTCGCCACCGCAACATTTTATGTTGCACTTTGCCTTTCGTGTGCCAGGCAGTCTGTCGTAATGGGAGGATTCCTTTGTATTATTTCCCCTTTTTCTTAGGTGAAAGTGTAACGTATCAAGCTGATATCGGAAGGGGGGTCTCACAGCGAATGCTCTCGGATTTTGACCAAACTGGTGTCGATTGGTCACAAATTTAATTAAGATGAAACTTGTAAAAGGCACCATGTGCCAACGGTGGAGATATTTGCATCCGAAGAGGAGAAAACGCGCCCCAAAGTTGACAAATTTTACACTTCCAAATTCTGAGCGCTTTCTCTTTTCTAATGCGAATAGCTCCGCAAGACATGAGCATTGACAGATATTGTCTTTTGCAAATTTCTTACTAATTAAATCTGTGATCGATTAACACTAGTTTGGTCAAAATCTGAGAGCATACGCTGGGAGACCTCCATCGTCAGAGTGAAAGTTATTCTACACACGTGATTGCACTTTCCTCCTTCGCTTCACCTAAGCAATCTTTTGTATGGTTTAGTTCTCTGTACATGCAATAAGCACCCAACCGGATCAGACCCGAGGCTGGAAATGCATCTCCTCGCCAAAAAGGAGGAGGAATAAGAGAAAGGAAATGACACCTGTCATTCTCATCTTCGAGACACAAGGAGCACCCAGCCTCGCGTATTCTTTCGAGCTGCACTTCTAATTCAAATTCCAAACAAATCTTGAGACCAAGAGTTGCCAACATGAAACAATGTCCTTTTTCATGAATGATGGCGTGCATGAAATCCCTATAGTGCATAAGCTATGCTTCGTGGAAGCTAAAATACCACGACCACCACCATTTCACAATTTATCTTCTTGTCTCATACCCCTATCGCTATCAAGCCCGCCTAACTGCTTACAAAGTGAATATTGATAAAGTCAGGGAGAGCGGAGAAGAGGCTGGCGAAACAAGAACAAGACATTTCATTTCATTCAGTGACGACTGTTTCACTGGCGTGATGTGAAATTCTAGAATAATAAGAGAGAGACGCTCGCAATGTTTTCCTTCCACGCTCCGTTAAGCTTTATAGATTGTCCTGGAATGACACTGCAATTGCTCAACCGTTTTAGAAACAGGGTGAAAGCAGAAGGGAATGGAATGACTGGCATATCGAGGAGGAGGCAATGAGGAGGAGAAGGTCTTCCAATGTACCGTATATTCCGTGTCACTTGATCTACGCATATTTTAGCCTAGCCATTTTTTCTTATATACATGCATGCACATTATTATGGGGTGAAAGTACGAAATAACATTGTTTTGTCCGTCTGTCTGTCCGTTGATCCGATAATTCTTGAACGAAAAGAAATACAAACTTTTCAACGTAAACTTCTGACGTCAAGGGGCAAGGCGAATTTCAAGATTGGGACTGTAGGTCACGGCGCCAGGTCATGATTTTGTTAAATTAGGACAACAATTCTAGTCCCCAGACTCAAGCCGATTGTATTTTCAAAGTGCTATCCACCCGAACAGGTCATCCTGACCTGCGGTGACTCGATGACCGTATGAACGAGGTCAAAGGTCACAAGCGTCGGAAATACGTCAGGCGTTTATTTATTAGCAAATTTTGAACTCTGCACACGAATATAATAAATATTTATTCTTCCGTATAGCCCACTGCTTTCACCCCTTTGTTACATGCATTGTAACGGTTTATACAGACTTATTTTGTACTAAAAATCTTTGCCCGCTTGTATATGTAGCTCTTCTTCATGACTATATAACTTTGTAGGACATGAAATATTTCATTGCAGTTGATTGTGTTGGAAAAGTCGGATTAAATTATAATTTAAATTCCAAAGTGGGAATATTTGCTCCCCGGAGACGAATAGCCAAATAGCTGTGCAGAGAAGGAGAGGCTGGATAAGATGATAATAATGTGCCTGCATTCCATGGGATACACCATCAAACAGCCTGGCTCGCTTGTCTGCTATCCTGTTGTCTATTTTCTCTCCCTTCCCACTCACTCAATTCCTCCGTTTTGTTCAGTTTTATTTTCCACATTTTCGCATTGCACCACACACACCGCACCACAGAGGGTGAGGCTCCCTTTGATGCAATACTACAAATGGACAAATATGCAAGGCCCTTAGGCCCTACATGCATGCATTCCCTGTGAAAGCAAGAAAGTGGAAGCCAACAGAGGAGTGAACAAGAAGAGGGTTTACTTATGCAAAAAAAACGAAACGAAACGCATACTTTCTCCGTTGGACATGGTTTGGTTACAAGTAGTTTTCACAATGGAGGTCTCCCAGCGTTTGCTCTCAGATTCCGGAAAAATTAGTGTCAATCGATTACAAATTTAATAAATATGAATTTTGAAAAAAGGCCAATGCGAAGGTTTGACAGCGATATTTGCACCGAGGAGGGTAGATTTTCAAAATGTAAAATTTGTCAACTTTAGGGAGCATTTTCTCCTCTTCGGATGCAAATAGCTTAGCCAAACTTGAATATTTGGGGACATATATTTTATAGGTTTTGTGACCGATTTTTCAAAATTTGTGAGCATACGTGGGGGGACCTCAATTCTAAGTTTGTCTATTATTTTTGGGCTGAAAATAAACTTAATGTGTCAATCGCATTAAAACTTTTAGTATGATCGAGTTGAACATATTATTCGTGTTTCTTCATATGAATTTCTAATTTCCCGTCGATCCTGCTCAAACACGTTGCTTGACAGGCTGCAAGAGCCCCCGTTGAGAGGAAATAACTTTTGACTACGTGGGATTATTTAATGAATTTTTTAAGAAAAGAATATCCGGAATTTTATACTCCACTGAGCAGTTAAAGCAATAATAAGGTTGAAAAAGTAGACATATAAATCTATTTAGTACGTTTGTAGGTTCACATGGCGTGGGCGAGTTGAGGAGGAAATCAAATATGTTAATATTGAACTAACTTGATCCAAAGGATGACATGGCTGTGGCCCTTAAATAAAAAATGGCAATTCCAATCTACAATTTCAACAGAGCCGAATTCTTTACAAAATCCACATCATCATTCCTCTCGAGCTGTGTGGAGAAGCATATCAACAATTTTATCTATTTATCCAATTTTCAGTACACTCTTAGAAATCCATACTTTATATGACGTAAAATATAACCCGATATAACTTCCAAAGTGCCACTACCCCACTTATAGCGAATCGCTCTCTCTCGGCCACAAAGTAAGCCATTTTACCCTGTAGCAATATTCACAGGGTAACTGAGCGCCCAATAGGGTAACGACCGTAACCCTAAATCGCGTTGATTATGACTTTACTTTCTTGCTTTGATGACCCCAGGAAAAGTTACTTCAGCGTAGTCGCAGTATTTAGTACTTTAGTAATATATTTTATTTCACATTCAACATTGCATTACAAATTTCCCTTATTATGAACCACTAGTGAGGATGTTTGTAAACGCTGGACCCTGTTAACTTAAGATAATTTTTTTAATGTTATACTAAAGTTTTAAAATTAGTTTTGCACTTAAAACAAAGATATACCAGCTAAGTTCTCACAAATTGTACAATGCATTCCAAAGGCGACCTAAAATGATCTAGAAAACCTGACAATTTTCTCCTGAAATTATTAACAGTCTCGTCCGTAATATCATCATCTGTTTAAAGACAATTAAAATAAAAATTAAACACAATGTAAATTAAATTTGTGTATAAATTATGCAAATTACGCGAATTTCTTACCCTTCAGCGTCCCGGTCCAAATTGTTGCAATAACCCCCTCGTTTCCTCCATTATTTGCTTATGAGTTAACTAACTAATTAATTAATTATCAATTTAACTAACCAGCACTGACTGGCTGAGAGTGAGGGAAAAGTCAGCGTCTGGTTTGACCAAGAATATCCTAAATGGGGTTTGCTTACTCTAAATGGTATAATAGCTTACTCTGTGGTTTAGAAAATAATGGTTTTACTTCACATTTGGTGACTTTTGTCATTACTTTGAATTAAGTTGACCATTTTACCTCGAATCAAGTGAGGTTTACTTTAAAGCGCATAACGTTCCATTTTACTTCATGAAAAGATATTGCATTTTCTAAGAGTGTAGGGAAAGTTTTGGGAGAGAAAAAGGAGTAAATTCATCCCGCTGTCTGCTCTTGAGTGAAAGTGCGGATCTTGTAGGAAGCGAAATGGAGAAGAGGAAGGAATGATACAAAACTCAGTCAACAATGTTCTTCTTGCTTTCTTTTCCTGCTGGTGTTACGTGATGTGAATATTTTTAAGGATATCTCTTTCTCCTCGCTGCTAAAGATGTATCTTATTAGATGAGACGGGCCAGGAATGAAAATTCGGAACAATTTCACTACTGCCAACAAAGGAGGTCTCACAACGAATGCTTTCAGTTTTTGACTAAACTGGTGTGAACCGATGATAAATTTAATTAGTATGACATTTGCGAAAGACAATGCGCAGGTTTGGCAGAGATATTTGCATCCGAAGAGGAGAAAAAGTGCCACAGGGTGGACAAATATTACACTTTCCAAATTTACAGAGAGCTTTCTCCTCTTGGAATACAAATATCTCTGCCAAACCTGCGCATTGTCTTTCGCAAATGTCATACTAATTAAATTTGTGACCGATTGACTCTAATTTCCTCGAAACCGGAGAGCATACGCTGGGAGACCTCCATTGTTAGCATTTCAGTAGGAATTGTAAAATGCATGAACAAAATAAAATATTTTAATTAAGCAAAATTAAAATTAAATGCTACTCATAAACTTAACTTTCTCATTACTTTTGTCCTCCAGGAATGCCTACGAGTAACCAAAATGAGCCCAGATTTTGCTGACGAGAAGAAAATTCCAAAGGAAAACTTTCACTCAACAAATGACAACTAAATGACATTATTAGCAGGAATTGGAGGACTACTGCTTCTACCACTCGGGGAAAGTTACCAGGTCCCGGGCATTGGGAGTCGTGGCAGTAGTGATGAGACTACCATTCTTGAAGGCGATGCTTATTAATAGCCAATCATCCAATTGTTTGACGTTATCTGGCCGCACAAACTTTTATCCGCGCAGAAAGGACGCCAACTTATTGAAAGGATTCATCGCGTTGGCCGTTTTCCTCACAATTTTCGCATTGTTGGGAGAAGCCTGTCAGATCAGTGAGTATTATTGCGATAACCGAAAGTGCGTTCCCCTCGACAAGTTCTGCGATGGAGTCGACAACTGTGGTGATGGTTCCGATGAACCGAGGCATTGTAGTCGTACGTACTTTCACTTATTTTCACTCATCTTATCATCACATCGTCGTTAATGGTTAAGATTGAAATTGTGTTTTATGTACATTTCCTCAGCTTGCAATCGCACTTTCTACGGCGTGGTTGGTGGGACCTACACAATCGCGGTGCATCGACCAAGCGCCAGAGATTCCCAATTACCGTTCGTTTGCCAATTAACGTTTGCCGCAGGCGGTAGCAAGTTTGGTGATTTAGTTCAGGTAGCACAATTCTCTTCGTTAAGAAAACCACGATATTTTTCCTCTCATAAGTTGAGAATCCTTTCAACCACAGTTGCATACGAATTATACGTTTCCTTGCAGTTGATCTTCAACAGCGTGACTCTCGGACCATCCGAGGACGACGATGATGAGGGGCGCCATGCTTCAGAAAAATCTCCAACTTGCCGCCAAGGCCACATCACCCTTAATGAACCCGACCGTCCCGCAACTGCGGGTCATTGGTGTGGTCATGACTGGGGTCAAGCCGTCTTTTTCAGTGAAACTTCTAGAGTAAGAACTAATTTCAATCTAATGCAATACAGATGTCTATGTATACAAAATTGATTTTGAAATATGAATATGACGCGTTTTGTGTGCAGGTTACTTTGGCGCTTTCGATGTTCTCGAGCCTATCTTCGTCATCTTCCTCGTCCTCAACCAACTTCGCCTTTGACTTTCGTCTAACTTATAAATTTTTGAGGAAGGAGGATTCATTCGTTCGTTATGGTCCACAGTCTCGGCCCTACTTTCGGGGACAATTACTTCCGGTACGTACTTAATTTTCGTATTTCCTTTGCTGTGGCTTTAACAGTTATGAGCAGCTTGATCTTAAAAAAGCATACCCATTTCTATATAAATTTCTATATAAATGTACTTCTTTTTATTATATTTTTATCAGGGAACTTTCTGTTCATTGATTTACAACTCGTGCGACAAAGTGCCGTGTGCTCTGCAAACTCCCAACTTTCCTGGTATTTACCCAAGAAATGTGACCTGCTACTATGCCATTCGCCAGTTAAACGCTCCAGGTAATTTATTTTGATTTATGTAATTGAACATCTGTATGTTTTGAGTTTTTTGGTGTAGAAAAAGTTAAAAGTTGGGGATTTTTTTTGTGATATTTGCAAATAGTGGGACACAGAGCCGTGATTCGATTAGGACAGGAGAAAGATCACATGGTTTTCGTCAGGAATCGTGCCGTGAGTAAGAAGAATGCTTTCGTGCCTGGGGACTCTGGTGGCAATTCCGGCCTGTCGGGCGACTCGAGTGGGGGAAAGGGGGTCGGGTCTGCGGGCGGAGGCAGTGGCGTCGATGAGTTAACGATAGGGGAAAATTGCGACACGGGGTCGGACCATGTCACCATTTATGACGGATATACGATTAGGTATGCGATATTATATTCATATTCGTACAATAGACGGTAGTTTATTTGATGCATATTTATTTTTTGAAGGGATCCGGTCCTTCTTCGATTTTGTGGAGGAGGAAAATTCCCTACCCTTATTGGAAGGTACTTAATAACGATACTATGATGCACACTCTTAACAATAGTCATACCGTTTTCCAAAGTAATTTAACTGCGAACTTATTAAATATACTAAATCCAGAGAGTAACTTTAACCTTGATAAAGGGTTAAAAGTTACTCTGAATTTGATATAATTTACTTTCTTAATATAGAATTCAGAGTGCATTTATTTTTTCAAAAGAGCAACATTATTTTTAAGACTTGTTTATGATGAATATAAAGATTTTTGACTGTACTTACAACTAACCATGTAAAATTGTGTGAATAGCGTTTTTGTTTAAATTTTGAAATCATATTTTTTAAAACGATCACTGGATCAAATTATTTAATGCTTTCACTCTGTTTCTGATAACAGTGGGAACGAGTTGCTGATGGAGTTTTACTCAGCTCCGACTGACTACTTGCTTCAGAGTGCGGTGAACACTGCGATCCAGGTAAAAATTTCCACATTTGTTACCAACAGACGCACATTTCGTGTGTTCTACAACGTGATGATTTATTATTAGATTTGAGCCGAAATAGTGGTGGTGAAAGCACATTTTTTCTCCTTCTTTTCAAGTGGCAGTAATAATATCGAGTTGTTGTTGGACGTGACCATTTTCAAATGTCCAAAAATAAGTGAGAGACTTGAAGGGAAAATTCAATTTTTCCCCACTTTTCTATTTCAACTTTCTCCACTTTAGCCAATCCCCAATCAATACTTGTTGACATCTCATTATTCTCATCTTCTTCCTTCCAGGGCTTCCATGTAGATGTTGAAATTGTTTACCTCCCGCTCGGTTCTCACACTTATGTGGAAAACCACAACTGCTTATTCACAGGTGAGTGGTTCTTTCTTAGCAGTTGAAGATTATGTAACGGATATTGCTTATGTGTGTGACATTTACTCGGTACACTGTATCGTCCAGATAGGGTTTCGTTTTCTCTCCAAAACCATGTTTTCCCAGGGAAGTTGGGACAAGGTGAAAGTGGTTTTCACCGTTCAAAATGAGAAAACATAGGATCCAATGTATTTAGTTATGGAGAAAGCAACTTCTTTAATAATCAATATTTTCGGAATTTGACATCATATTCGTCATCTCCACGAATTTCTGAACATTTTAATGAGTAATAAAATGCACTTTTGATTTTTTTCCTATTTATAGCGTATGAATACATATGTACGTGCTAATTTAAGAGATATTCGAATTGAACCGTATTATCAACTTATTTTCTCAGAATTTGATGAAGTATACGAATATGAAGTTAAATTTTGAAAATCTGAAGTTTTAAAGAAGTTACATTTTCCAATTTCAGTATGTATTTCTGGTTGGTGGTAAAAAGTGCCTTTTTCCTCTGCCCTGGTCAATTTGGTTTTAACCAATCGACGAAACCCTGATTCTAATGTTACCATTTACAGTGTCCAGCTTTCAACAAAAACGGGGCTTCCTCACTTCCCCGCAACATTCACTTCCTTCCAAAACCACATGCACTTATCTGCTGGAAGGCTCTCCTGGAGAAATCGTGTGGATCTCTCTTCTCAAGTTTTACATTGGGAAGGAATACGGGAAAAGTGGGGACGAAGGGGGTGGTGGGAGCGGGGGCTATAACGTGGCCGGGCTGACGGGATCGTATAATTTGGGAGCGTCGTCTTCGTCTTTGTCATCGTCATCTGGCGGATCGGGATTATCGGCTCCATCAAATTATATGACTGCAATGAGTCAAGTTTCCACCATGAGCAGTCTCGAGTGCAACACGACCTATTTCCAGATTTGGCAGGGGACCTACAGTAAGTTTCCTAGCTTCTCTTCCATTTTTCCATATTTCTCTCTAAGAAGATCACACCCACTTTATTTTCTCAAATGACGAAACAAATTTTACTTTTCTTCTGAAAATAATATCAAACTTTGACGATTTCCCAAACCCACATTGTAGTTTTTTTAGCATGTTCTACTTTTTCCCCTTTCTCCATTTGTAATGCACAAGTTTGGCTGGAAGGAGTACACAGAGCGTGGAAATAGCAGTATTAAGTGCGAGCTTAGTGTTAAAAGTTTTCCCTATCCGAGAATTAGACTCGGACGGCCAGAAGAAGAAGAAGAAGAAGATAAGTTGACTAACTCATCTCATCTCGGAGTAGGAAAGGGAGATTTGTAAATCTCATCGTTAGCAGGAGCAGACGAGTGGACGGAGAGGGGCAAGTGCTTGAGAATAAGATGGGATCAAGCAGAGTGGATTTGTCTTCTTGTTAAGAAAGCCCTGTTTCAATAGTTGCAGTAATGTCGCGATTTCGTATGTACACACACAGGAAGATCGATTTTGCACTTAAGGAACCATGCTTTATTCGTACCAGCTTAGAAACCAGATACTGCAATGGCTGATGATGTGTTTAGTTCTGAATGATTGCCAAAGAGAGTCATTCCACTAAATGTGGAGGTCGCCCAGCGTATGCACTCAGATTTTTAGCAAACTAGTGTCAAACTATTACAATTATAATTACTATGAAATTTACATACGACACAATTCGCCAAAGCTCGGGTTTAGCAGAGATATTTGGATCCGAAGAGGAGAAAACGTGCCCCAAAATTGACAAACTTTACACTTTCTAAATTTATTGAGCGCTTTCTCCTCTTCGGATACAAATGTCTCCGCCAAACCTGAACATTGACAGATAATGCAAATTTAATGTTAACCACTTCAACCCTAGGAGACGAGTTTTTTCATACCTTTCACCCCTAGTAACCGCGAATTTTTACCTCCCTTGACCCCGAAATTTTTATCTACTGCATGACGTTAATTCCTGGGCCATGAATTAAAAAATGGTGTTCCCACCGGAATTATTCTGGACACTTTTTTGTGAAAATTGGTATGAATAACCTTTCAAGAAGGTATTTTGAGTTGTAGTTTGCATTTTTGAGTTGTGGCGAACCACCAATGTTTATAGCCGAAAATAGCCAACACGCCGAATTTTAAAAATGATTGTAATTGCATGAAAAGTTAAACAAGCATGGAGTAATACTTGCATAACAGTACGTAAACTCGCAAATATTGATTATAGCGCATAAAGCGCCTTAGGAGCCGATTTTGGGCGGGAAAACCAAAAATCCTTACAATGACTTTAAATAGACAGCAATGACAATGAATAATTATCCCGTGAGAGGAAATTACTCGAACATAGACTATGGCGCATCTGGTGAATAGAAATCAATTTTAAGCGGGAAAATTAAATTTTACTAATTCCTGGCAATCTCTCAATTTTTAATTTTCCCGCCCAAAAGATATTTCAGCGGCACCCGGTACGTAATCATTAATTTTGACGTAGTTTACCCTACCGGCAAGATTATTTGTGGTATATAATTAAATCCATGCAATGATGCAATTCATCAAACTTTTAGTTTTCTCGCCCAAAACGCCCATTTGTGCTACATGCGAGTAAAACAATTTCTCTAATCTTATCGTAACGCGTTGTTGAAATAAATCGGTGTCGAAATTTCCTTGCAAAAAACAGTTTTCACAACTCGGCGTCTTGGCTAGATATAGCCACTTGGCTATAAATTTATTTTGCATCCATTTCTAATATTATTTCCTAAGAGACAATTTATCTTCCCGCCTAAAGGGCGGGTTGTTGACTCATAACTCTTGCTTTGCTTTGCTTGGAGAGGCAATGACCTAATTTTTTTCCGGATACGACACATAGTCGTAGGCCGGTGTGAACGGAAAATACGCCACATAGTCGTATCCGTTGTCAAGGGTCAATACGACACATCGTCGTTATAGGGGCGAAGTGGTTAATTAAATTTGTGACCGATTTACACTAGTTTGCCCTTCGAAGAGCATACACTGGGAGACCCCCATTTCTACTCGTCTGTTTTAAATTACTAAAATCTGACCAATGTGTCCAATTTTAGGCGACAAATTCAACAACGCCACCCTCCTCGCCCACCTCTGTGAGGACACCCCTATCCAACGCACCTGCGAGTTTATGCTGACCTCGACCACATCGTCGAAACCCCCACCGAGGGCATGCCACCCGGAGGAGTCTTTTATCTCAAAGGGTCCCAACATGTCCCTTAAACTAAAAGTGGAGACCACCACCGTCCTCCGCCCAGTCGAGTTTAAACTCTATTACGAGTTTGTCGACACTAAGCAGGACGGGGAAGCCTTTTCACATCCGGGGCTGACTGGACATCCACAAAATTCACCAAATTTGCCAAAATTCTTAAGAACTGAGCAGCAGCAGCAACAGCAGCAGCAAGGAAACTTGGATGGGATTCCTATTGATGGCGGAGTAACAAACTCGATGAAGTTCTCGGTAGGAAGTTGCAGCCGTATTTTCAAGAGCACGAATAATGCCATGCAAGCTGCCACATTTACATCGCCGAGAAATGTATTTTACTTCGGGAGAGGAGGAGTCACCAACTTGACTTGTGTTTATCGCTTCCAAGGAGTAAAAGGCCAACGAGTTCGCATCACTTTCAACAAGATTTCTTTGGCTGGAGGGTAAGTGAATGTTATTGAAAATTATGTGTCCTCCTAAAGTCAAGAGCAAAATTGATCCGTCAACATTTCTCATCTGCATCCATCCCCATTCATGATCCCCTTCACTTTATATGCTTTCACACAAAGTTGTGCAGTTTTGGGGTCTCCTAAATAGATACTCATCATTGAAGTTTTATGTATTTTATGACTTTTGGATCTTTTTAAAACCAACTTTCTCCTAAGCCTGAGCCCCGGGGGTCTTATTTCTAATGACTTGTATTATCCTAGTCATTTCTATAAAATCAGTACCGTTTTCATGAGCCTGATCCACGCCAAATTTGATGTACTATGCAGTATGCGGATAACTTTTTATTTACGACGGCGACATACATGACGATTCCATAAGCCCTGTTTGACTCTTGATAAAAAGTAAAAGTTCCTCTTTCACAGTCAGTGAAATTTCATTTTTGTAATTGTGCCCATTCAACCCAAACATTGGATTGGTCCCACAGGCACGACACGTCATCTTCATTTAAAAGTCCCTTTCCTACAAACAAAGTTAATGCCGGCAAAGTATAAGTCGCATGTCACCGCCCGAGGGTTCTCTCTTCTGACAGTTGGTCGCCACTGTGTAAGACTTTTGAGAAAAAAAAACATCCAACTTCCATAACTTTCTCCTTTCTGTGGCAAATTGTCCACCGACCGTTGTTACGATAGCTTTTTTTCTGGATAACCTTTATATTTAAACAAATTCTCATGGGATGAATTTGAAATTATTTTCAAGTCTCGCGCCCCCAAATAGAAAGACGAAGTTGCCATGAATAGCTAATAATTCTTTCTAAATGGGGCCTACTAGAAGGAGGAGAGGAAAAAGTTTGGACAACCACCAGACCGAGGCAATCCTCCTCCATTCAGGACCTAACTTTCTCCACAATTCATTATTCACCCAGATAGACCGACACAACCAATAAAGGTGGACTTGGTTAGGGTCGGAAGCGAGAATTTTTTATTCAAATTCGCTCTCAAACTGAATACATTGTTGATTTGAAGAAGAAATGGTCACGACGACGTGAATATCGGAGTTTAAGAGACCGGGAAGCTCGGAGTATAAGTCGTAACTCGCACTTCGAAAGAGCAGACACCATAACTTTTTAATTCCTCAAGGGCCCAATAAATAGAAAGTTGGTGAAAGTTTGAATTGACATGAAGTGAGTGAAATCAGGATTACTTTTTTTATTTAAGGAAAGGTGTGAATTTCCTACATTGTGTCCAATTTATTAATTCTTATTGAATGTCTTGTCAACTTTATTGAATTATCGCGATAATTAAAACTAATCTGGGTTTTAAAAGGGATTTACTGAATTGTGTAGGGATGTTACTACTACACGGTGATAAGATAAGAATACATGTTACCAAGTTCGTATTCATGGGAAAAATTCCATGAACAAATTTTGCTTTAAATTTGAATAGGGTGTAGACATTTTTATTGAGCAATCCACTTTGAACTTGAGTATGTACAATCTACTCGCTCCCATGCACCCACCCTCTCACCAAGAAAGAGAACCCATTTCTATTCCTATATTCTATTTGAAAGCAAAAAAAAAACGGTGAGGAATTGAATTTCAGCCTAGCCAAATTTGCTCCACCGGACAAATAGGCACACAAACTCTTCTCCCACAACTTTCCAGGGGCAAAGTTGGTTTGGCAGAATCAATGAAGAAATATTGGTTTATTTAGTGGCTTGGCTTGTTACCAATTCGTCTTTCTGGTGAAAGTGATGGTAGAGTCATGCACTGTGTAAACATTTCGACACTACAATTTTTCAACCTTTACTACTTTTACACTGGAGAGAAAAACAGTCAACAGCAGCAGTGGTGACATTTTGGTTTGCATAATTTTCCTGTCCGCGACCCTGCCTGAGTTTAATCCGGTAGAAGGAAAATGTGATTTGGTCATGTTTTTCCAGTGGTTTAGAAGAGGTCTCTCCTCCCACGGCTTTCTCTCCAAGGTTGGTTTAGGTTTGATTTGGCACTGGCTGAGGTGGCACTGCGTAGCCCAGGGGCGTGTTTGTGAATATATTTCGTGTAAATTGCTGTTTTTACACAATTTTCTCACGGTCTCGTCTCTCTAGGAGGGGATCGAATCGAGTGTGTAAAAACCATGCATGATTCCAAGTTAGACAGTTTGTTGAACAATGTCAGCAAGCGGTTCTTTGTGGATGGTTGGAGAAAAAGGTGAAAGGGTAAAGCGTGGAAAAGTAGAGTGGTGATGGTCCTGAAAACTAAAGGAAAAGTTTTCCCCTTTATTTTTACGAGTCGATATATTCCCGCTTTATGTGCACTAAGAGGTCATTTCCTAATAGTGGAAAGTTTACGGAAACACGGTACGCATAATGCGGGAGGAGAAAGTATGAAGTCATTTCTCACTGCAGGATGGACGCACTTTTCCGCTCGTCGTCGCCGTGACTGAATGTGGTGCTGGATGAGGGGAAAGTGCTAGTTTCCAGTCCAGATGAGAATGGGGAAGGTCCGACGTTTATGATAATGATGTGTTCAGTGATGGGTGTTTTAGAGCTGTGTTAAAATATTTAGTCATCACGTTGTGGTCGATTTGATTAAAACGTATTTGTTTCCCTTGCAATGTTTTAGGAATACAATTTCATTGATCTGAGATAAGTTACGTTAAGAAACGAGTTATACATATATAAGTTTCTTAGTGAAATTTTATTACTTTTTTAGTCGCTGATTTCGAATCTGAGGTCAGTTTTTCAGTTGCGGCATCATGGGAAGGGACACATAACCTTTTCTGCCTGTGGATTGACGGGCGTATACACTAGTAATCTGACGACACACAATTTGCGTAATTTGTCTGAGATTCGACTGCATGTTTCGACATCTAATTACACTTCATCACGTGGACTCTCTTAACCTTCACACACTTGACTCGCGAAAAGCCAACCACTTGCAAGAGAAATATTTAGCTTTCCGACTATTTTTGCCCGAATTTATCAGCAAATGAAACAAGTGTAAAAATTTTAATTGTCTCAATTAAGTCAACTTGTTGAATTTGTACTTTTCAGTCTAGTAAAATATGGATATTTTCATAGACACCTTAATTCCACATTCACTTTATCCATAAGAAATGAGTATTTTTACAGTCTCACTTATTCTACAAGCTACCAGCCATTGTTTTTTACCGTTTTTTCCACATCTGCCCCATTTCTAATGAAATGCACGCTTCCAGCCCAGCCTGCCTCGACTCTTCGCATGCCAGGAGACAATAATAGGAAAAGAACGTGCGAGTGAAAGTTAGGAAGTACACCGCAAAACGAATCAAAGTCATTCCCGTGCAAACGTTGATCTCTGGTCTGGGAAGACGTAATGAGAGAGCGTGGCTCCTACTTTCCCTCCCACCGAGCCATAGTCCTCCGTTACACAGTTTGCACTGTTTAGTCGTAATTTTGTTTCGTGTTTTATTAACAAAATCTCCACACGAGGTCCCATTACCTCTGGATCCCGTCGGGCAAAAGTTAGGAGCACTGATTACTTTGGAGTTTGGAGACCGACAAAAGCGAATCAGTCCATTCATGCAAATTCGAGGGCTAAATAAAAAATGCGAAAGTTTATACATAATTATCGATGCAGGAAAAAATTAGGTGGTTTTCATCTAAAAAAAGTGCATTTTCTTCTGATAATCATGAACTCTAAGAAATTTTATCATTGGATTTTATCATCAACCGATGAACATGTGACTTTAGCGGGTGCATGGTGATACTGTGTTACCGCTCGGTTACAGTAGAATCACCAAGTGGGAACACCCACCAATTTTCACTCGGTGAAAGTCTATCACCAAACGAAACCAAAATGGTAACAACCCCAGTCACGTTTGTCATCTGATTTTTAAGAGTGTGTAACTTGGCACTATTTGCTAACAAGGTTTCAAATAACCACCAAGTGTCCATCGTAATCATGTCCAGCATCTCACTAATTATCATTATTATCATTTCCCATTACTTCCGCAAGATTTTTTCCGGTTGGATTGGCCAAAGTTCAAAAACACGATGAGCACACGAGTGAATTTGTGCTCTGGTGAGTCAACCAAAATGAATTCGATGGAGAAAGCGAGAGAGAGTTGGATGAAGATAAGGAGATGCCAACCAACCACGAAACCAACCTCGAACAATCGTTCGTAGCAGCAACTTAAAAGACAAAGCCTCCACACACAGCTGCTGTTCATTCTTCTTCTCAGAACACGCTCCTGGTAATGGGAACCTCCTCACTCGACAAGAATAAGGATTCCCGAGGCAGTGATGTGGACAGGATGGGAGAGGAAAGTCCATCTCGTCCGACCGACGTCAATTCCTTCAGAATACATGCGTCCATACACACATTGTGTGGGAAATTGACTACATTTACATTCTAAAACTTACATAAAGTGGAGATATTCCCAGAAGAATGAGAGTCTGGTGAAAGCGAAATTTGCCAAAATTACTGCACATCCTTGCTTCCAAGCTAACGATGCGATGATGGAGTGCCATAGATTGAGATGAAACGAAACCGTGGTCATCAATTGTATTGTGTGATGTGATCACAATCTCCATCACCCACGAAGCGAAAAGAAGAAACCAAGAGAAACAAATGCTGGGATGAGATACGCTTTTTTCTCTCTGCGGTTGTGTCCTCCATTGTCTCTGGATGTTTGTCGCCTCCTGCTCGTTGGTGGTGGATAAGCCCATTGAATGAAACTCCAGACGACACATTGACATTGGAGGAGGACATTGGCAGACGATAAGAGATACTTGATGGCTCGTTTCGGCCAAAGTCGCGATCGTTTAGATTGGAATTTCTGAGAGATAATGGGTTTTGCGAGGGACAAGAAAGGCAAAAAAGCTGGAGAAGGTGAACATCTCTCAAGTGTAGGATTTTGCTGGTTTGATGTCGCCAAAAAGTGGACTGGCAACAAAGTCGGTGACACAAAAGAGAGTGGTTTGGATAAGGAGGGATAAGAGAGCAGGGCGGAAATGTCGCCTTCCTATTTGATGATGGTCATCTCATCTTATCTTCTTATCGTCACAGAACTCGTCCTGACGAGACCAAGAGGATTGAGGATTGAGGGTCTGAATAGTTGTTTCACATCTCTTCTATCCATGTATGTATCTAGCTCCTCTCGTCTTTTGGGTACGCACGGGCTTAACTTTCACCACCACACACGTCGGCATTACCGTCGTCAATGGCGGTGGTGGGTGGACGGATGGTTTAATGGCCAACTTTGAACATTAAATGCTACTTACACAAGTTGTAAAAACTTTTTTTCCTTTATGAGGATTGAACTCATCCCTTCAAGTTATTTTATGAGTGAGACCAACCCATTTATGATCCATTTATGAGTATGATGATTAGATTGTAGAGAATTCTGGAGGGTGGTTAAATAAATTGATGGCAACGTGACACCAGTCTTGTAATGGTGGCAGGCTAACTAGCAAGTTTTTGTCCAATTGCTAAATTATTCTTCATGCAAAATATATTGGCAAAGTTGGTCAAATTATTGTACACAATTTACAATTTGGGCTCTTGTCATTTCGCGAATTTTCAAAGTCTCATGAACCCATCCTCTCTCTCTCAACAATACTTATCAAACTCTTCTGTCTTCCATTGTGAGACTGATATCGATATTGGACTGAATGTCAAAACCAGACGACGACTGACTGCGAGAATACATAGAACGAGGAGAAGAAATGATTAATCAACGTTCCCAACTACTTTCACTACCCAGCACTTCGTCGTCCTCGTCGTACATATTACCTCCACATAACTCGCTCCTACATCTAGCAGTCAGTGAGTAGTGTTGAATGCTTTCTCTTCTCTGCCCTCTGTTCTATTCTGTTCACCATTGTATCGGAATGGGATTGGATGCTGAGTGTCAGACGGATTTCGGGAGAAATGGATTGCCTCCCACGTCGTGCACATGGTGGGATACCAACCCAACTATGAGCTATTGTGATACTATGCTGGCTGTGTAGCATCACTCCAATTTCAGCCTAACGAGGAGGAGGCAGATAGATCCCGTGGCAGATAGTCAGACCTGAACGGTTTCCATCTCCTGCTGGAGGGAAATATTAATTTCTATCTTGATTGGTGGAATGGAATATGAGATGTGCATGCATGTATGAGACGGCATAGTTGGGTTCGTATATACGAAACGAACCAAGTTGCTCCAGAGAGAGCGAGCGAGCGAGGAATGAGATGAAACTTGGAGAAAGCTTTCTCCACTCTTCTTCCTCCTCCTCGTTCCATTCATCCCATTGAGATCATGTCACTATCAGGAGTTGGCAGGCAGGAAAAATTTCCTCATATGGAAAACTTATAGGTTTAAAATACATTTTTTTATTGACAGATTTTGCAAATCGGAGGTAACCTCGCTGACGGGGAGGTCCATGTGTCGAGACATTACGCAGAATGATACACAATCCACCAAGCGCGTCACGGAGGGAAGGGTTCAGGTAAACTTGATTAATTTGCAAAAAATGTAATTCTTCAAAATGTACTTTGATTTATTAAATCTAATTCTTTTAATCTTTAACCTGACTAATTTTTTGTGTTTTTTAACCATATTTGGTAGGTTTGGGAAGTGCCGTGGGGTGGGAATGGGAGCCGAATTTTGAAAGAGTGTCTATGTGACTCGGAGGCTGGGCCGTTCTCATTCCTCTCCGTCTCATCCACGATGGACATTGTGCTGAATGTGAAGAATATGCAGCCCTTTCATGACCAGGATCACTTCACGTTTGAAGGGAGGTGAGTATCAAATGAGTATAAAATATCTACTAATTCCCTTAGTTTTATACTAATTTTAGATAAAGATTATTTGAAATACTTTCACTTTGCGCTAATAATTTTGAAGATATGCGTACCCAAATTTAAGGCATCGTGGCGCCATTAAGAAATAACTGAAGTCTTGAGAAGGGCTTAACTTGAGGCAGGTGTCCAACATTTCTCATGTCACTCGCGGTAGGAAAAGGGGATTTAAATTGGGAATAAATTCACACATTAGAATTAGCCTGGACGGAAATTGACTGCTTCTGGGTGTTGGAGGACAAGTTAGAATTTACGAAGCAGGAAGTGTGCGAGTGAGTGCGAGGGTTAATCTCCTCCGAGAAATGAGAGCAAGGAGAAGCTTTTTCCGCTTTCACCATGCACGAAACATGGCTGTGCTGTGCTCCCTCCTATCATCATCATTTTCATAATGGGACTCGCCGCGTCAATTTATTTGGCCACCTTTTCATCTCTTTTTATTATTATCCCACGCTGAGGCTTTATCAGGACAGACACTGATGAGCGTATAACAAAGTGCTTTAGGCAATTTGGGAGAAAGTCGACGGGTTGAAAAGGAGAAAGGTTAATGAGCACGCGGAGTCAAGTCAGACTACTCGTCGTTGGATGTGTATATTTATGAATATATGGAGCCACGAGATGGACGAGCGACGTGCCCAGAAGTCAATTCTCAGTTGCTTAGTTAGTCCTTGCACTTGTGAAATGCTGCATGTTCACGTTTGAAATACAGAACGTATGAAAAAGCACGGAGACACTACTCCATTTTAATTTACTACCCAAAAATAATTACAATTTTGTCACTTGCAAATATATATTTTGAAGAATAACACTAATGTCTCCTCCGTTCTTTATTTCAGCTACGAATTCATATCCAACCATCCAGCCTGCTCGCGTGGGCAGAAACTAAAAAGCCCGAGTGGAACCATAACCCTGGCCCAGCCGGAGAGGGTCCCTTACCAAAGTTGTTCCCATTACCCGTGGGAAATCCAACCAGCATCGCCGTCCCACTACATCTACCTCAGGGTCCCGGGCCATACAATGAAAAAGTTTGTGGTTCCTTCCTCCCCACATCCGCAACCACATTCCAAATCATCTTCTACTTTCTCCTCCTCATCATCATCTTCACCCGGCCAAGAGCGGGCTACGCATTGCGACACGAGGAACAGGATCCTCGTCTACAGCGGTGGCTTCTCTGGCCACCTTCTCCAAATTATATGTCCTGACGATTCCTCCTTTGGGAGTAGAAACCAGGTGGAAATCTTCTCCTTGGGATGGGACACTCCGTCTCAGTTTCCCAACTTTGTGGAAAACCCACACCTCTCCATGACCAGCCTGCCTTCTAATAATCAACTCATCGTGGAGCTAGTTTCTCGCGGTCCAAGCTCCAATGCGAGATATGAGCTGAAATATATTCAAATTTCGAGAAGGGACGAACCCCTCGAGTGGGGGGTTCATGCCGCGTCATCCTCCTCCTCGTCCTCCACCACCGGGGTTTTGAGTGGTTCCAGTGTGATTACGACGAGTGGTGGCAATATCGTTGGGATTGATGGCGGACATAAGATTGTGACCCCGGGTGATGTCGGTGGTGGTGGGACAGGTTCATCTGGAGGAATTACGTCCTCCTCGTCCATCGGCTCTTCCCGTGACGAGTTGGAGGAAGACGTCTGTTTCAAGTTTAAATGTCCCGAGCTGAACGCGTGCATTAGTCCGACGCTGTTCTGCGATGGGATCTCGCACTGCCCTTCAAATTATGATGAGGAAAACTGTGAGTACTTCCCCATCCCCAAGACTTATCTGGTCCTCGCGGCCGCCAGTTTGATCACGTTTCTCGTTCTGAGTTGCTGTTTTGGCTGTTTGCTTTGTAAGAAGAGGAGGGCGGAGAGGAGGGAGAAGCTTTTGATGAGTAGTAGGACTCCGACGGAGGAAATGTTCTTCGGGGGAACGGGGGGGACGGGGACGATGAGCATGGGGAGCAGTGGTGCTGGTGGGGCGGATTTTGGTGCCAGTCATCACCACCATTTGCATCACCACCATCGTCGCGAAATGACGCGGCGAGAAATCGAATGCTGACAATCGCCATCTCGAGTGGAACAGTATGTTGAAATCGACCGGGTTACTACCGTTTAAGAAATCTTACGTAAAAAAAACAAGTGGAACTGAGTGGAGAAAGTAATTTAAATAGGTTTCTTTGCTTTCTCCAGTCAGTTCAACTTGAAAATGGATAATAAATGGTCAAAGTGAGACAATAATCTTAAAAAAGTCATCAAAAACGAGCGTACTATTAAGATATCAGAAGAAATAGCTAATGCATACATACATAAAGGTAATTGAGCACATGTGTGATAGAAAAAATTCGTTGCACTCGTCTAAAACTTTTAAGTCGAACGAGCCATCCGCATTTTATTCTTGGTATCATTTCCTGAAATGGTTTCTCACCTGCATATTTACTTATTAGCTACTACACCTATTAATTACTACATGTATTCCATTCAGTGTTGGTTAATTTCAGGACTGCAAGTCGCACAATGGGGAAATCGTCCTTTTAAAAAGATATAAAATTTAAACATTCATGATGACTACCTGCACAAAACTATGATAAATTAAATATGTACATACGTGTTAGTAGTAGAGAATTATAAGAGTGATATTTTACCAAATTTCGTAAGTCTAACACAGAAAAATCTAAATTTCCCTTGGTCTAGTCTCGCTACATGTGTAGATACACACTTATTTGTACAGTTTACCTGTCCTAATACATAAATAGAATGTACATAGGTACATACTTAATTATTCGCTCGTTTCCTCCACCCTCGTAAATATCCTCCGAAATGTAAATAAACAGACCTACATACATATTTAAATGCATGCGTCGAGTAAATAAAATCTAGCTGACGAACGGAAGGAGCTAGGGAGAAAGCGTATAAGGAGGACGGTAATTAATCTCTATTTACTGCTGGTAGGCCACGCCGTAGGAATTTTACTCTCTCTTTCTCTCTCTTCTTGCATATTCTTCTTCTTCTTCTCGACGATAGGCTTAAGACATCAGGATATTAACACAGTTCGTAATTTATAAGGAAAAAGAGTGACTCGCGAGTTTCAAAGTGAACGCACCTGCTACCTGCTCAACCAACTTTTCTCTCTCGCTTCTTCTGGTTACATGGAACTCGAGTGAGTGTAATCTTCGCTTTTAAAATATTAGCTTGCAGCAGTCCGGCCGGGCAAGAAAATATGCTAGGAAAACAAAAACCTGCTTTCTCTCTATTGTCTAAAACTTTATAAAATCTTTCAAGATAGGCGATGAATAAGTGCAGTGCAGGTAGTTTACATTTTCGGGGAGATAATTCTAAAGAAGAGGAATGAAAACTGAAATGAACTGAGAATGGAGGCTTCCAAGCGTATGCTCTCCGATTTTGGCAAATTTAATTAAGATGAAATTTACAAAATGCACGATCTGCCAATGACCAGGTTTGGCGGAGATAATGCATCCAAAGAGGAGAAAACGTGCCCTATAAAGTTCATGCTTTGCAAATTTACTGTGCGTTTTCTCCTCTCCGGATGCGAATATCTTTGCCAAACGTGCCCATTGGGAGACAGTGTTGTTTGCAATTTATATATTAATTAAATTTGTGATCGATTGATACTAATTTGCTAAAAATCGGCGAGCATACGCTGGGAGACCTCCATTGTAAACAACGAGATACCGATCTGCATACGCAGTGCGGGTTATTGATTCGTTTTATCAACAATGTTTTTTGACTTCGACTAATTAGTTTTTTATTAAGTAGTAAAGAAATTTACATTTTTGACTTTCAAAATAATTCATTAATTAACACAGCCAATTAACTTCACATCCTTAGTTAGATGATGGACAAAGTATTCTCGTTTTCCTTGTTACTTTCACCTTGCACCTCTCCTCTCCTCACCTGAAATAGAATGTATAGAAATCACTTTAAAGTCGTAGTTAGTACTAAACAATGCATGGCAAGAAAGATATAATCATCAATAAATAGACCAAAATCAATCACATGACACAGTCAACCAGAAATTAGCTATAGGCTCACAATGAAAAAAATAGTACGAAATAATATTTGCTTAGAAAGATGATGCAAAAATCCAGTTGAAAACCGGTGAATTTCGACATACTGCGAAACTTGAGGTGGAAATTGGGTAGAATTGTAGGAAGAGTTTTACTACTATTTATAGGATTATTACCATATATTATTGTTACGTATAACTCGAGCTAGATACTTTTTGTGCAGTTATCCAACAGTGTGATAAGTAAGCATTGTATTAGATTACACATATTTAGGAGTATAAATTGTTAGTACAGTGAACAAGTTGAGGAGACAAATGCTGTCCGTCAGTATTTCTTGGTGTATTCAGAAACATGGAATTAAAAATCAAAGACACTTGGCCAAACTTAACTACTACTTTAAAACCATTGCCATTACGTCACTACATAATTCTAATATTAAAACTTGTACTATGCAAAAACAATAAATAATTAATCGGCTTAATTAAATCGTATTAAATTGTTGTAAATTTTTTGTGTAAAGTGTAAATAGAATTGAATGTTAGGTAGTACGTAGTAGATAAGTACATATATTTGTGTGCTAAAAATGTGTATAAATTGTATGATAACTATGATACCGATAAGTAAATTTAATGGCCAAACTTTTACACGTGTGTACATACTTATAAACATAATGTAACATAACTTGGACGATAAAAGGAAGAAACTCTTCTGTGAAGTCAAATATGTAAAATTCACTGCCGACATTTGGTTTTTGTTATTGTCACCTTATGTGAATCAAACTATAAAAAAATGTAACACGATATATGTATGTAAAAGAGACTTTTTTGATGGAAATGATTAAAAAAACACTACCATAAAAAAATTAATGACGCATTATTAATTCAATAATTGCTCTCTTGTTTGGCACCAAAATAAGTTTGAGACAAAAGTGCTGCACCCATTACAGTACAAAATGGGTTCAAGCCATTTCCAACATTTGTTACCAAATGAAGCAACTCACTCACCTGCTTATTACACCACCACACAAGATCGCTTTACATTACTTTTTAAGCTTGTGTGACTTCTGGAATGAGTCGTGTGGCGTGGTCTGGTCGGAATTTAGAGCAAAGTCTTTTGGAGATTTACCTCTGCCAAATTGAATACCAAATGGGTTCATAAATGTCGTATAATAATCCTTTTCTCGGTCACCCGACGGGGGGTGTACACGACACACATTCAAGATGCCCTCCTAAAAGTATAATTTTTAAATCTCTCTCGTTCACTGCCAATTTCTACCTCTTATTTTCAAAGTGTTGATTGTCACATTTTATTTTTCGAAATCATTGAATCCACCAAACCACCAGGAGCCGCAGCAGCTGGAGGCAAAAGAAGCCATTGCATTCAATTCTATTGTTACGTGGTCTTGAAGCACATTTTGGAAATTGGAGAGAGTGAGAGAGGAAGGAAAGATATGGTAAATTTCACCATGTCTACATTTCAAGTAGGAAAAGTAGGGCAATATCAAGGCAATATCGTTTACTCCGCCAACGGAAATTTCCAACGTGTACCCTACAACCCGGTCCAGAGCTCTTCACTTAATGCTTCCAGGAAACTTTCGGTGCACCTTCCTTACAAAAGTTGTAGGAACTCGTAGTAGTACTACTATTGCAAGAGAGAGATGTTCATGGAAGAGAGAAGGTAAAGTCGTCATACATATATCACAGGATAAGACGAGGGTGATGCGCTGATTCCACTATAAAAAAGTAAGTAAGTTTTAGCTCAAAATTTGTCCCTAGATCCAGAAAAATAGTAGAATCCCGAAGAAAACAACACATCTGCCAATTTTCCTTGCCTTCCAGTTCGATCAAGGAAGGCCGGACCTAATTCAAAAGATAACAAAAAATAAATCCATCCTTTATCCTGCATCTAGCTTCCAAAACAGCATCAGATGACCATCACTAATTTGTTTCTGTTTTTCAATTACACGTATTGATCCCGTCTTCTTAGAGGAATTCCCTGGACTCATCTTTTATACACAGAATCCCGCATACTCCTACCGGATCTGTCGCACATACCAGGACGGCAATAATAATAGAAATATCTGTACAATAGCGAAAATGTGGTGGATACTCACCTGCCTGCTACACAGCTCAGCCATTGAGAAAACGTGCAACATTGAATTTAATAGGGGCATGGGTGGCGAATGTTTTGTTTATTTTTTGGTCCGTTGGTTGGTCCATACTCCTGCAAGAGACGGGTAGAACAATAAAAAAGTGGAAATGGGGAAAGGAAATTCTATCCGGGAAAGTAAAGTAGTCCTGGATGGAGAGAAAGCAGTCGGATTTTATCATGTGGAATTCTTCAGGAGCAGGAGCAGCAGCACGAAATCCTTTTTCATCCTTGGAGCAGTATTTGGAACAAAAGAGATCAGCATGGATCAGATCAGAATCAATTTCTGGGCAGAGAAAGTGAGAGGCTGGGCTCACAAAATGGGAGGAAAAACAATGTACCTTTCTTTTTAGTGCAAAATAAGAAACACGAAATGGTATAAAAAGTGGTACTTTTCCCATCTTTATGAGTTCATTGCTTGTTGGTGGATCAAAAGTGGTACGGACGGACGAGCGGATGTGGATGTGGATGGATATTATTGGTTTGTGGTGTGGTGGGATTTATACATTTCATCCTCCTATTTACTCTTCAAATTTTTGCAAAAAGTGCACCAGTGACAAATAAATACAAATCTTCCACAAATAAAAAAACTATGTGTACGCCAACATTCAATTCATTTATTTATTTATTTACGGCCCCTGCTACGTACGTAGATACACTTTTATTTATGGGGAAAGTCAATGTGGTAAAAAATTTCATTGTTGTTCAACTCCACGCTCAGATTGCGGCATGGACATGAAATATCCCTATTTCAGATTCAGGTCAGGTATCATTTAGTGATTTGGTGCACATTATACCGCACTTACTTACCAAAATCTCCACTTCCATCCATAGGCCAGCCATCCTTTTTTACGGTTTCTTTACTTTTTTGGGGGGATTTTTATTTCGTAAAAAAAGTAAAACCTTCTTGCCCGGTGGAGAAAATGGAGACAGAGAGAGAGAGTGAAAGTGGGCTGGAATAAGAGACCAAGACCGGAGATTTTTTAGAATTGGATTGGTTATAAATTACATAAAAGGGAAGGTTATGTCCATCTAAAGAAGGGAGGCAGGAAGGAGAAAAAAAGTCATTTTGGTACCTTCCCACTGCACAAAATTGACCTCGCTCTCAAACTACTTGGTTAGTTAGTTGGCCAAAGTGGACTCTCGACAAGGCGTAGCGAGAAGAAGATGGCCAAAGTTGTTGGATTTGGATTGCAGCAAGGAGAAAAAAGTCATTAGGGTGTGACCAGTAATTTACCAGAGCTCGCTTCGTCAATCGAGTAAAAAACACTAGTCTACGCCATATACGCCAAAGAGACATTGAGACGGTAATGCACATGTACATAAATAAATAAATAAAAAATCATGTAAAAAAATAAGCTTGGAAAATTCCTGAAAAAGAAGTAATAATATTTTCCCCATTTTCTTTCATCATATGGAAAAATAATATCCCTTTAAGTCCACACCCACGCGGACCAAACGTCCAAATACATCTTCGAGTCAGTAAGAAAACAAAGTAGTGAGTGACTCCTGAGAGTGAAAGCATTGATTTTGGTCTGCCAGTCTGGAAAATGGTCCTTCTCCTCTTCTGGTCTAAATATGTCGCGGGAGTAAAGCTACTTTTTTTCCACCCACGACCTCGACTTGACTGGAGTCCATTTCCTTCCGATTTCCAATCTGTTGGTCCCATTAGCAAATGAATTGGAATGGATGCGAATCTGCTGCTAACAAACCCTAACTGCAGAATTACTTGGAGAGAAACGGAGACGAAAACCCAGAGAGGTTTGTGAAACGCGAAAGTAGAATAATGGCAGAAAAGCCACGCGTAAATAGGCAAATCAAATATATGCGAGAGACTGGACACAAATCTGTAATTCGCAACAGACTGTGGACCAAATTGGTTCTTTATAAAATCGTGCATGTGAAAATTTTGGAACATTTATAAAATCTCAGCTTTCCATTGGAAAACTGTACAATTTAGGAATTTAAAGATACAAGAGGAAGCACAAAATCTTGTGAAATCCTGACATCACAAAATTGACATGTTTCTCGTCTCGTTCTCACCATTAAATTGATACACATGCACCCAGCCAGGCAGGGGTCGAGGAAGTATACCGCGCTGTCAAGCGAAGGATGGAATTGGGCCCTAAACAAGGTGGATGGAATGGAGGAGGAGGTGACACTTGGCTGAAATCGCTCGTTCCACATTTACTTTCACTCCAGTAGCTGCCTCGTTCCTTCGTCTCCTGGCATGGAGAAAGCACGTGATGGAGAGAGGAGCCTGCAATTTGGTCCGTGCCTTCTTAGTTACTTACATGGAATGAATGTTACGCTAGAATGACACTTCAGAACGACTCATGTCCATTCCCCTAGTCGAGATTTTATTTAGAGATGTTGTAAATTGGATGAGCAACATTAAGTAAAGCAGGTCATAGCACGTCATGATGAGTCAACAGTCCCTAAAATCAGTGTTGCAGCCACATATACTTATGTACTTATGACATGCCTCGCAACATTCCAGAAAATAATCTTGGTCTTAATTGTTCACCCCAAAAAGCAGTCACGTCTTGGTATTATGGGTCGTCCTACTTTACTTTCTCTGTATAACTCAATTTGCATGGAGTAATATAAGCCCGCATTTTCTACGAGGCATCACTTTCAAAGAGAACTTTTCCCTTGTAACATTATCTAAAAAACCAAAAGTATTAAAAAATGTACTCCCACCATCGCCAACTAGTTAGGAGGACCGCAAACTGGAAACTGTTTCAGATATTTTGCATTCTCCAAAACTGTTTAATTCTCCAGGTTGCGTGTTTCTCAGTTAATTCAAATTCGATTCCGGGCGGTCATGGACTGCTGAGGGGTACGATTAATGGCATCTTATTCGTTAATCATACCAAAATGTTGGCCCCGAAGAGTGAAGATGGAGAGATTCTGGTGGAAAAGATGGATCCCAAAATTCAATCTACAACCATGCTCGTAGAATCCTTGGGTGAAACTGGGAGTTTGGAGGACCGGGCGAGAACATTGTCATCGTTGGGATTAGACGAGGAAGATTACGAGGAGGACACGAACAAGGCAAAAAGGTCGAAAGGGTTCATCAAAAGGTTTACATTATTACAATTATTCGACTTCGGCATCTGTACCATTTCAATATTAATTCTAACTGCCAAATTATTTATTACCGTCGTCCAGATTACTCCAAAGATTTGGGCTCGTCTCAGCTTCGTCCGAACCACCACAACGGTAAGTCAAGCCAAGTTAAGCTTTATTAAGTTGTCAACAAATATGCAAACTGGTTTCCACTTCATGATAATTACTATATTAAGCGACTTAATTAAATTTAATAATTAAATTGGGTTAAATTAATAGTTAAATTAAATACAAAATTCTTTCTTATTGCATTGCTGGACAAATTTTGCACAAGTAATGTTGCTCTCTCAATCACGTGGACGAGAATTTTAAACTTTTAACAGCACAATAACTGAACAATGAATATTTGCCAAATTTATATCCATTTCCTCAAGTTCAAAATTTAAATTAGTAAAATAAAAATAACCTTCTTTTTAGCGAAAGAGAATTTGAAGCTCAAGTGGCCGAGGATGATTCTTCAGTTGATGCTGACAGTCCGAGCGACGCCATGACCACGTCGATGCCTTCCACGAGTCTCCTCGCTAAACTGAATCCCATCAATAAAATCACGTATAAAATCAACACGGCGAGAAACGTGGTAAATCGGGCGTTGAACGTGGTGGGGTTGGGGAGCAAGCCGGCTGAGACCCCGGCGGAAGGTGCGACTGGCGACGGAGGGGAGCAGGACGATGAAGCGGGGGCCACACGGGATTCTGCCGGCACAACGGACGATTCCTCCTCCTCTGGGGTTGTGCATGGGGACACGGTATTGGTTGCCTTAGTCGGAGTTGCGGTATTTCTGGGGTGCAATTTTCTTTAAATTTTGAAGAATAGCTTTTTAGTGAAATAATTAAAGTTAATTAATAAGGGTATAATTGGATAGATGTATTTTGGATTGGGTGATTTATGGGGAGTAGACGTGGAATTGTATTTAAATTTTAATTTAGATCAGGTTAGTGCACGTTATGTAGCGTATTAAGGAGTAGAAGGTCACTACTTGTCGGGCCCCGATTTCGATCTCCTTTGGATATGTTGTAGTACTACATGAGTCTAGAAAAAGTGAAGGAGGGTTAGACTCTATGAGCCCATTTACGCCCGCCACACCCCCTCAAAGGCGCCCAAACCCCCAGAGTTGCCGCACTAAAATCCTCGCCAAAAATCGAGTTTTGGTCAGATTTTCAAGAAATTTACATTTTTGTGATCCCAGATAGTTGCTCTATCATATCCAATACCAGACTCAACTTTTTTGAAATTTTCAATATTTTCGAAGATTTTCTGACCAAGGGTATGTATTGAAAAAATTCGAAATTTCAAAAAAGTTGAGTTTGCTATTGGATATGATAGAGCAACTATCTGGGATCACAAAAATGTAAATTTCTTGAAAATCTGACCAAAACTCGATTTTTGGCGAGGATTTTAGTGCGGCAACTCGGGGTTTGGGCGCCTTTGAGGGGGTGTGGCGGGCGTAAATGGGCTCATGGAGTCTAACCCTCCTTCACTTTTTCTAGACTCATGTAGTACTACAACATATCCAAAGGAGATCGAAATCGGGGCCCGACAAGTAGTGACCTTCTACTCCTAAGCAAAAAAATATTTCTAAATGTGTATGTTTAGTTCTACGAGAAGATAGCAGTAACGATTTTATGTATCACTTTAGATTATCTATCTAAAGTAAATATCAGAATGCGACATCACGTGACATTAAAATAAATGATGCACAATTGCTATGAATTTCACCACATTTCATGATAACTAAAAACATTCAGTGTTAATTACCACTCTTATTTAAATACGTACGAATATCATTTAATTCAAGTTTAACGATTCACAAAATTTTTGTAATGTCACGCATTCTCATGATTATAGAATATTTTCAGGCTTAATAACCCAGAACGGCTGAATAACTTCCACGATTGCATAACATACGTGGATCATCATATCATATGGTGGACAGTGAAACCGGTTTTTTGCATATCGTAAATATGACTAAGATTGTCATCATGTTCTCGTACGCATGGTTTGATCAGCAGTTTGATTAAGATTGCATATCTGACATCGTCAAATATTAAGGTCCCCGTTTCCATTAAATAATTCATAAAATTCCCAATTATTCTACAAACCGAGGTCCCCGGAGAAAGATTGCGAAAAACCAGAGATCATGTAAATATATTAGCCCCGAAAACCCCATAACATCATTACGAACAAGTGTTTGCCTACTTACTTAATGTACACAATAATCACGCATGGTTAGTTAGGTAGTTGTGTGTTTACTTATAAATAGCAAAGCAAATATTTGCATAATCTTTGAACAAGTGTATTAAATTATGTCCATGATGTGCAAGTGTTGTTTTTGGTTTATTCTGTCCCAAAGCATTACTTACTTCACCTCTGAGCCGTACTGGCCGTGACGTAAATGAGGGATAAAGTGCAGCACTATATTTTGCAACACATTTCCATGTACGCTTGGAGTGGGCATTTTAGTTTATCATTCCCACTTGGATCGCGGGGTTGGGGTTATCAAATCCGGAAGGATTAAATCTGGACGGACAGTAATTCATGGGCCGGTGAAATAGCATTCGTGCATAGCAAGGCAGACTTCCAGTGAAATTAAAGCCTTCCAAATCTATCATCGAGATGCCAGTTTTATAACAAGGAGTCAGCATTTACAAGCGTCTGGGGTTGATTCATAAAGATAAAGTAAGATTGATCAGCACGGCGTCCCCTCAGTCTCGTGGTGCTGCTACAAGTATTAGAAGGTATTTGCAGTGTTGTATAATATGCAGAGAGCGGATATGTATTTATTTACAATTTTTTCATCTCATGACGACCGGCGGTCAAAATTTTGCCGGTGTGGTCTCAAAATTTTATACATCACAAAAAAAATTTCACATTGTCACATATTTCTAGGTTTTCAAATGTATTTATAAATATTTCCGCTATTAATTGAGAAATTCACAAATCTTTTAGATATTTTTTTAAATACATGTATTTTGTAAATATTATAAACTTTGTTTCTAAAAAAATTCGACTACAAAAAATCCAGAGCATTATATTCAGAAATACAAATTTTGCGAAAATTTTATATTTTAATGTTGTTTCGTACATACATATTGCGTAAATATTTTGGCATTTTTGACGCAAATATTACATATATACATATTTCACAGATTTTTAGTAAATACATATCCGCCCTCTGATAATACGAGTCGGAATTTTTAATCACTTCACAAATCCAAAATTGTGATAAAAAGTTTTCGGTGTTTTCACGGGGAATTCTGAACGAGGGAAAGTAACGTAAAGTGCTACACATACTTATTTTTTGTTAACATAAGAACTCCTCCTGGAAGAATTTTCCTTCCGCAGAAATTCTTTCGCCATGCTTTGGACCATATTACTTCGGGCAGTCGGGTTTTATACGCTACTCAAAATCTTTCAACACCGCAGATTTCTCTACATTTGCGTAAAAACGTTACCCCGAGACGTTTAGTAAGTGCAAACTTTTTTATGCAAATAAAAAATGCGTACTTAATTCCAAGTATGTAACAGTGCTGCAATCATATTCGGCTATGTAAATGCATTTCTGCTGTACATCAAGTACACGAATCAAACCACGGCATCCTACTTTGATGGCCAAGTGATCAAACGGAGGGGAAAGCCATGCTTCTATTTCGAGGAAGAAGTTTGGACTTATGAGCAGGTAATTTTTCGATAAAGTTTTCAATTTGTGTAAACATTGCGTAATTACGCTTCACGATATTTATTGTGCAGGTTCAGAAGGAGTCGTACAAAGTGGGGAATTTTTTCCAGTCGTTAGGCTACAAAAAGGGGGATACTGTCGCCCTCATGATGGAGAATCGACCCGAATACGTGTTCACCTGGCTTGGCCTTAGTCGCGTATGTCATCTCGTACAAAACAATGTTGACATCTTTCATTAGCACGGAACGCAAATCTCATTAAATGACAAGTCTTGTTCAAATACTTGAGCAAAGCACTCTGTTTGTCATGAATGACATAATGTTATTCTGTTTATGATGATACATAGTGTTATTTTATGTCCTCCATGCAGATTGGCGTCGTCACGAGCCTTTTAAACTATAACATCCGACTGAAAAGTTTGGAACATTGTGTAAATGTGTCAAACTCAACAGCCATCATTTTCGGCAGTGAAATGACTCCAGGTGAATTAAATGCATTATTATGTGGTGGATAATTTCATTTCATGGCCAACTTTGTCATATAGCAATCCAAGAAGTGATAAATTCTGGTGGTTTCAAAAACCTGGAGTTGTACTGCATAGAGGACAGGACACCGGCAGAGATTCCCTTAAAGGGTCGACCCGTTGTGAACCTAAGTGAACAATTGGATTCAACTCTGAGTCATCCAACCGTATCTGCAGAACAGTTGAACAATGACGATGTCATTTTGTTGGTGTACACTTCTGGAACGACAGGTTGGCCGAAATCAAATGGATGATTAATCTAATCAATTAAGAAATTAACTTGTACAGGTTTGCCGAAGGCAAGTTTGGTGCGACAATCAAGGTAAATTTGACATGAACTAAAATCGAGTTGTTTCTGAATTTTTAAAATTTTGTAATTTTTTTTTGTCAGGGTATTTTCCATGTCGATGTCAGCCACGGGGGCGAGGTTGAAATCCGGGAAGGACATCTTGATCACGCCGGTGCCCCTCTACCACGTTCAAGGCGGTGTGCTGGGCGTGACTGCGGCAATATTTCACGGCGTGCCGCAAGTCATTCTGAGAAAGTTTTCAGCCTCAAGGTTTTGGTCACAGGTTCAAATCTTCACCTTTATCGTACATATATTTATACGAAAGGATATACTATAAAATGTTTGGTGGTCACAGTGTATCAAGTACAAAGCCACGGCTGGGCAATATCTGGGAGAAATCATAAGGTATTTTTTATTTCATATTTCCTCTGCTTCATCTTCAATCATGAAAAAAATATCCTTTTAAAAAGAAATATCGCTCGAATCCACAGTTTCAGTCGAGCTTGAAATTGTTTATCTACTTGATATTACTCGCAGTACTAGCTTCCAAAGTTATGGAGGAAGAATTCCTGGTTGCTCTTTTCGTATTAGTTGTAACATAACTTCTCCTAGCTTGGCGTACGTCTTGAAAGTATTGTCTTAATTTTCTCCGATCCGCTCTTCTTGACCCGAGCCGACGGATATAATCTGAGAGAAAATAGTAATCTTATCTTTCATTAAAGGAGAAAAAGTAGAGTAGAAATCAAAAGTCTGACCTCTGATCCTGTGATAAGTATTTGTCAGCAGTACTCTGGCACCGCGTCCCAAATTCCCCAAAGTTGCGAATGGTCTTGATAAGAAGTTATCGAATGGAAGATATCTAAACACAATGTCCACCACACCGGGGAACATGTAGTCGTAACTGTACTCCTGTAGAGAAAAAGGTCACAAAAACTGTATTGTTTAATTTGACACCAGTTAAGACCGGAATTACCAAAGGTGGCAAATTTTCTCCCACTCCGAAATCAGGATTCACTTGATCATCATAGCTCAAAGTGTACCAAAATGCAATCGTCGCAATTTGTTTGTCGCTTCGAAATGCATCTCTGAAATACGTCTTGCCCAGAAATATCCTCCCACCATCAGATTGTCGTCCCACTAGGCGGAAAACGTCAAGAATTTGCGTGTTTGGGTAGAAATTGGCCAGACTTGTCACACTTGTAGGCAACTTGTCTTTGTTCCGCCTCACGAATTCGGCATAATCAGGGCAAATAGTTCTAAGATTTTGGGTAAAGTCCATAATTGCTGAGGGCTTCCCATCCTCACATTCTCCAGGAGCAAAGTTGGCCTGAAGTGGTGCGATGTACACGATCGTGGGAAGAACGGCGACGTTGTTGAAGGAATTGTGGAAACCGACGTAGATTTGGGATGCTTCTGATCCCGAAGTGGAATTGCATTCCGCTTTGAAGGCAAAGTTTCCTCGCCATATCAATCGAACGATGGGATTTATGAGGAAGTGGCGAGCATTTAAGGCCAAAAGGACGCGGCCTGGCTGTGGTCCTTCGGGGACTAAAAAAATTGATGTTGGAAATTTACCCAAAAAATATCGAATAATGTGCATGGTTTTGAATAATGACCTTTGGAAGGTGTAAGTCCGGCAGAGAAAATGCATTGAAGTTCAGCTTCATGTTTTCTGAGGTCTTCAAATGAGTTTATCGTGTATGATTTGCCGGCCTAAAAAAATAATAAACATTTCTCGTAAACCGTAATAATTACCATAAATTCCATTTAAACAGAAGTCATATTTAGGATTAGTAAACAATAATTCTCTCATATTTAGTAAATTAAATGAAGTAATAATGGTAATAGTTGATAAAAATGCCAGCCTATTTCTCACCTGACATTTCCCATAAGCGCTGGAAGGAATGGGAAATCTTCGAGCGACATTTGTACTGTAAGGAAATCCGTAAAACGGTCCAGCAGGCTCGGGAAACAGTGTCAATCCAGCACAACCATTTATAGCAGCGAGGAATAATAGGAACGTAAATGCATGAGTATTCTGCTCCATTTCAAAATGTGCAACGAATACTTAATTGTAAATACTTTAACCTGAATTAGTAAATGCACGAGGTTATGCTAGCTTATCTATTGGTAAAGGAGGAGGAGGACTAGACTAGAATTGAATCATTGTGATTTGGCGTAACCTTCGCCGTCTCTCTGAAAAGTGGAATGAATGAATGAATCCAGTCAATTATTCTTCTAACTTAATTCAGGAAAATATGCACAGAATTCTGTCTGGTCATGCATTTAATAAGCAAGATTGGTAAGTAGGTGTACCGATTTATGGCACAATATTCCATGAAATTCTTACATATTACTGGGTATAGAAATATTTACAAAGGTTTCGCAAGGTACATACACGCATACCGATCTTCCAGTTAGTTGTATAATATATATTCATATATATACTTTGATATAGCCAATAATTAAGGTATCCAGTCCGTATAATTAACATGACTGACGAGCAAAATAATGAGCAATAACGCTTTATTTATCATGTGTATCAGTAATTGTGAGATAGGGCAAAAGAATTCTTGTCCAGAATTCATATCTTATTCTTGGCAGCACATTTTCTTTTTCTACTCCAGTCAGAAAATACAGACTTGAGAACTTGACGTGGGATTTGGCACTAACGGAAGGAACACCACCACTTTAATAAAATAGGAAATGAATCAAGATGGACATGAACATGAACTTTATCTTAGTTCCTTCCAAACCAAGTGCACACGGTCAGTTTGCCTGATTCTGACTGACTATGCATGCATTGCTATTGGTATTCAGGACTGAACAAACTCGCAGAATTTCACGGCCACTTTTATTCATTCAAGGCAAACCACATTTCTGACCAAGTGACATTAAATGGTGGCACAAGTAATGTAATGCACCACACTTGTCTCGCACTTGGCTTCTTTGTGCAAATAAGAATTGTTTCACTTAATGGCAATGGAACGTTTTAATGTGGGAAGCACAATATCATATTGATCTTATGCATGCAACAAAAAATAAAATACTTATAGGAAAATAATAATATGCAGGAATGCAATAAAAAATCATTAAATTTCATGATTCGGTTTAAAATCCGCAGATATCTGTACAATCAACCGGACAGACCGGAAGATAAATTGCACCAAGTGAAAACCTTTTTCGGGAACGGGGTCAGTAATAATTTACTCGCTTGGGTGTATGAGTATGACTTATAGCGTAATTTAAGGAAAGTATGGTTAAGTGTTTTTACTAAATAATAAAACTCTGTTGTAGGTGAATCCAGCTATTTGGGAGAAATTTGTGGAGAGATTCAACAACATACAGATTAAGGAAATATTTGGGGCAACAGAAGTATGTACATACTTTTTATTATGATTAGTCATAATTTCATTGAATATGAGAATTTAAATTATTGCATGCCTTTACAGGGAAACTGCAATTTAAGTAAGCATAAAATTTAATCTGTATTCAGAAAGTAGCTAGTGTGCATAATTACTCCCTTGGTTCTAACAATGGAGATCTCCCAGCGTTTCCTCTTCTTCGGATGCAAATGTCTCTGCCAAACCTGCGCATCGTGTCTTTTGCAAATATCGTATTTGTGATTTATTGGCACTAATTTTGTCAGAATCGGGGAGCATACGTTGGGAGACCTCTATTGTAAATAGCCTAAAAATAAATTAGGTATGCTATTTAATATTTTGTTTGCAGTGAACATCGTGGGTCACGTTGGGGCATGTGGATTTACGCCAGTCTGGGCTTTGGGTTTCCTTCCATACTTTTTTGCCAAGGTGGACGATGCCACTGGAGAAATTGTGAGGGATAAAAACGGCTTCGCAATTCATGTTAAGGTTGGAGAAGCTGGAGAACTTTTGGGGCAGATTTCTTCAAACCCGATGAGACAGTTTGATGGGTCCGTTTTTTAATGGATAAATTGCATGACTTTGCAATTTCACACGAAAATAATGATGTGAAATTTCCAGCTACACAGACAAGGAAGCGACCAAGAAAAAGATTGCTACAAACATAAGGAGTAAAGATGACCAGTGGTTTAGGACGGGTAATACCACGTTTGCGTCATACGCATGTAATGATTTATGAACGAAGTTTTTATTTCAATGATTTATTTAATCGATTCAGGTGACCTGCTAGAACTGGATGAGTACGGATACTGGTATTTTAAGGACAGGTCGGGAGACACGTTTAGATGGAAAGGTAAACAGGAAAGCAACCCCTCAGTGGACACGTCGCTAAAATCGTTGAGAATTCGCAGCGAATTTGGAGCGAAATGACTGCCGAGTCGCAGAAAATTCGCTGCAATTCAAGATCTGGTACAACTCGACGGTCATTTCGTTCCAAATTTGCTGCATCTCAACGATTTTTTGGCTATGTATAATGGCCATGACGTACACATAAGCAAATTAAATTATACCGCCAAACACCAAATCTAATGCTTTGCCAAATCATATAATTTGTTATATTCTCGTCATAACTGAGTTAAAATGTACAATAGTCATAATATGAATACTTTTCTACTACGCTAATTCCCCTGCAGGGTTGATGGGCATTCAAAGTAAGTAATTCCAAATCTTCTATCACCAGAATTGACTCTTGTCCCCCGTATCCTGATATATACAACTGGTTGCGCCTCAAATGTCACCTCTTGCCACGACGCCAGCCAGTCTCCCCTCTTGTCACTCACCATCGTCCAATTTTTTATGTCCGCCGAAACTTCGACGCAATAACTGTATCGCCTTTCGTTTGACCCAGGAGGACCATTCCACAGTAGAAACCTCATCGATGAGACCAGATACGGCTGCACTAATTGTATGGTGATGGATGCATGCGGGTTGTGCTGGTTTATCACGTGAGCAGCTAACCCTTGGCATATATTTTCGTCAGTGGGCCTTGTACTCCCCCTTTGCAAGGGAAAGACCACCCCTTGACCATTTTCATCATTGATCACACTCGCGCACATGTCTTTTCGTGCCACGTTCTCGGTCGGGATGATGAGACCCGTTCCAGGGTCCACGTTATAAGACCGGTCCAGATTATAGAGCCTGACTTGGAGGGCGGGTATCATTCTGGAGGCGGTGCCAACGTTCCGCGTGGCCACGAGTTTTACTTGGTGGACCACACGAAGAGTGAAATGGAGGAGTTGCCACCATTGGCAGTGATACTTCGTGTAGTCGACGACAGGTTCCCACACGGGCTGATTTTTGTTGGGACAGGTTTCGATAAAATAGGAGTATGTGTGAAAATCCCGACCGACGTAGTAAAATCGGATGGTGTTGAGCATGGTGGGTTTTGGTAGGGTGATAAACACCACGGCGGTGTCGGATAGGTCGATGTTTGTGAGATCACGAGATCCAAAATGGTACAGGTCAGACTTTGCTGTATTTAATTATAAAGGTAATTTTATAAATACTTGGAAAATAGGTTGGATAAGAAGTTATGTCTTAATTTAAATACTGTACCTCCCGTGATATCGATTGGAATAATACTGTTAGGGCTCGGGGTGGGAAGGTAGCCGCGATATTCCCACTTCCTGATCGCCTGTACCCCTTTACTTTCTTCAATGGCGTCGGAGATTTCTTTTAGAGGGAAGAAACCCGAGCATTTCACGACATTGTTCAAATACTCGGGACTCAAAAGAGAAAGGCGAACGCATGAGAGTACGGAATCATCGTCATTCTTGGCCACCCATTTTGTCACGCCTTCGTATATTTTTTCCTCCTGGGTGAAAAATGAACTTCTTGAAACCAGGGTGGTCAAGGCTTCTCGAGAGATTTGGGGGAATAAAGGATGCTCCAAAATCTCGTCGGGTCTCTCGTCACAAAAACGTCCACATGCGGAAATGAGGCGACTCAGGGCAAGATTTATCCCCTTTTCAAGTATTGGGAAGATGTTGGACAGTTGAAGATTTGCTGCGAGGATGTCACATATTCCATCTCCCAGCTCCTGAAATCCCCATTGATCACACAGTCTGTGGGTGGATGTAAAAGAAAGGAAAACAAGATAAAATATGACGTTGTATTACGTCAACAAACAAAATGGAATGAAAAGTTGTGTGAATAAATCGTCTCAGTTACCCCAACAAATCAAACGCCGTTTCCTCTCTTGACACCCGGAGATCTACTTTCCCCGTGTAAATGTACTTGAGCAAATGATCGAACGCGATGTGATTGACATCTTTCAGGACGACTTGAGATTCACACGATTCTTTCATCCCCCCGAAAAATAGGGCTTGAAAGTATGAAGATCTTGAGGCCAGGATGGATTTGTGGGCTGGAAATTTGACATTGTTAACTAGCAAGGTGACCTCCGGCGACCCTGGGTTGTGCAGGGCTTGCAAGTCGGGGAGGTCTATGCGATGATTTATTTCCCAGTTCTGTTTCTCACTGGTATCACTCATGGTTGGGCTTGTTTTAGTAAATGTGCACTTTACACTTGTCTGAAGTTATGTCAAAAGTATATAAACTTTAGATTTTTCTACGAGTTGTATTTCCTGTTATTTAGTTTCTATGAAAAAAACTTATCTCTGTCCAATCAGGGTGGTAGTTACCCGTTACGTAGTCCGGAGAAAATTGAGACGAAATTGCTATTATATCGGAAAACTATTCACTAATTATATTTGAAATTTTTGAACTTGTGTGATCAGTGTCAATGCGTAGGTTTTCTGACATGTGTACGAGTCAACTTTCTCAGACTGACTACGACGATTGGTTAAAAGTCACTTACTTAAATGGGTTAATGTAACGAACCCTTTTCCATCCCATCCTAATTTAACCTACGCATCCGTCCTTAAAATAACTCTTTTTAAACAAAAAGGGGAAAACGTGTCCACTGCCGAAGTTGAAGAAGTCGTCACCCGTGGAGCAGGGATGAAGGCGTGTGTAGTTTATGGCGTACAGATTCCTGGGGTTGAGGGACGCTGCGGCATGGCAGCAGTTGCAGACCCTGAAGGAACCCTGGATTTCGACGCTTTGGGCGATGAAGTTCGTCGCTCCCTTCCTTCCTACGCGAGACCGCTCTTCCTCCGTGTTCTCAACAGCGAGATGAATATGACAGGCAAGCAGAATATCCATCTTCATAATTTTGGATCAATTAACACCAATTTTTCCTCCATGCTTTGCTGAATAGGAACATTCAAGTTGCAAAAGGTGGATTTGCAGAAGGCGGGTTTTGATATCGGGAAAATTAAAGATGCCATATTCTTTTATAAAGAAGCACATTATAAAAAATACGTTCCACTGGATGAAGCTTTATACCAAGATGTGATCTCTGGCAAAATGAGATTTTAGCTCACTGTCTCCTATCCTCCTCCTGGCTTTACTTGCTGAGCTTAGGGTAAGCTTTTCTGGAAGGAAATGAGACTTTCTCCGCCCGAAGTAGTTGAACCGTAAAGTAGGTGAATTTTATTTTTGAACCTGTTCTCCATCAGACTTTCAGGAAATATCTCTAGTCTTTTCATTATTTTAGTTTTCATGTGTATATTTTATTAGTGTAGGGCTCGATGGCTCATCGTCAAAATCAGGGCATGCAAGTTTGTAGAGTAGGTCGTTCCCAATTAAAAAAAATATACACTCGAGATTTTGGTAGTTTTTGAAAAAGGAGATCTCGAGTTTAAGAAGCCATCAGAAAAATTGGAGTTCATCGCAACTGGCTTAAAAACTCATGGTCATTCTATTAATAAACTTACTGGTTGTCGTTCAGAATCTTAAAATGAATTCCCAGAGCCGAGAATTGATTAGAAATGTGTTGATTTTGGTGATGAGTCATTGAGCCGTACGTTAAGATAAGAAGGTACTTGACATTTTGTTGGCGTTTGTATTAAAATAAGCACAAAAATCAATAAAATTCCTTATCTGACTTAACCCCGAGTACATACAGATTACATTATTTGACAGTATAATAGATAATACTGAAGGGATTGGTGGGGCCTTGAGGATAATTGATTTTGTGCATGAATTATGGACTGGAGAGAGCCTAGTGGCGATCCATTTATTCAAATCCAGTCGTAGAATATGCAGACATTTGAGTAATTCTATTCATTCCTGACACAAAGGGGTATAAAGTAAGTAAGAAGAAAGGCACTTAATCCCTGCCTGGACCCACCGTCGTCTTTGGAAGGAAATGTCTTTTCTCCGTAATGCACCAGCTGCAAGTGACTGCTTCTCGATAATTCTGCAGAAAATTCGATCAGATGGTGACTAAACGCAATGTAATTTCATTTCGAGGAGGAGGAGGATGAGCAGCGTCGGCTTAACACAGACCAAACTGTCTCAGAATACAATTGATGGATAAATCGTATCTCTTTATACACGCGAGGATGCTTATTGGAAAGGGCACAAGAGTAGAAAGTCGGATTGACGGGGAAATTGATAAATTGTTCATACATCTCGTATCTGGGCCACTTTTCTAGCCCACCGGAAATGCCTGTGAAGATGTGCATTCCTCCTTTTTATCTTGATTTCTAGGTGCAAAGCTTAATGTAAAACAAATAAACTTCCCAACAAATAAAGTACTCATTTTGTGGATCAGCACTTTTGGCTGGATTTTTGTTTAATTTAAGAATATTATTTACACATGGAAATTAATAACCCAGAGTCAACAAATCAAGCTTTTACAATCATTTTCCCAGTGTTTTTACCCTGAAGGAGATTAATAAATGCAAGCGGGATTTGATCGAATCCTTCCATGCACTCTCATTTCTTGAACCTTGATCTTTCCTTGGGCAAATATTTTCAAAAATTAATGGATCTATGAATAGCAAGCGAAATATGTAGGCATCCTTGATTTAATATTAATTTTATGTACCTCAAGAATCCAATCACGCAACTGAATCACACCTTCAAACCATTCCTGCCACCATCGAACGACCATAAACCCTTCCACTTTTATTGCTTGTAGATCGTGGTTACATAATCGAAAGGGACTGTAAAAAACGAATTTCAAAATAAGTGTAAGACTTCATCTGGGTGATAATACATAAGTAATCACCATTGGCAGTGGAAGCAGGGGGACATTGTTCTCTGAGAAAGTCAGTAAAATCATATCTTGTCCATGTTGATAAGTCCCTCCTTCTGCTATCCCAAATGGTAATGTCCCCATATGTTCCCCCCCCCAACTTCCGCTGCCATTGTTAATCATGGGGCCTCAGAATTTGAATAGGTATGTAATAATAAATGTGTACATACTCCTTGGAAGCTGGCTGGAATCTCGGTTGTAAGTCTCAATTGCACCGCACAAAGCAATTCGGCCGTTCGAGTTCATGTTTTTCACGACATTTTAGGCAAACTCCCCACCGACCTAGTTATGATATGAAGTTATCAAGTTTTTAAGAATACCGAAATTAGTATAAAATTCCTACATTGTCAAAATAGCAGGCAATCTCTTTTGGAGCGTATTGTTTCAAGGTTTCATCCACCTCCGCTTTCTTCTGCATGGTCAAACCCGAGTTCTTTTAGCCATTCGACTTTATCGTCACTGCCCGCATAACCGATAATGGTACAAAATTTATATTTTATATCACACATTCAGTTTCTGGAGTCGTAAAACTCGTACCTTTGATTTTTGATATCTGCCCCACAACACTGCCAACTGCTCCAGCTGCCGCCGACACCACGACGGTTTCTCCTGGTTTTGGGTCACAAAGTCGGATGAGTCAGAGTGTGCAGTATTTCTGAAAAAATGTCAAGGACGCTGCTCATATTAAGAACAGCAGCAGCAGCTACAAATGCTAATAGCATTTTCGCATTATCGTTTTAAAGAAATGTATGTATGCATAATATGCACCCTGGCATACCGCATGATCCCAAAGCATACGATACTGGGAGACCCTTCAAGTCATTATAAATTGACCCATATCCTTGTTTCTCTTTTGGAGGAACTTTGTACACCGTTAAATCTGTGGAATATTTTAAATTGTAGGACGACATTCAATTTATTCATAGAAATGTATGTACATATTTAAAAGTACCTCTCCATCCAAAATACCCTAGAACAACCGTTCTTTCAGGGAAATCGGGGAATTTACTCTTGATCACTCTGTTAGCCAATAACGATAATTATTAAATAGAAATTTTAAAGTTTCGAGTATTAATTTATTTAATTAAGTGAATAAACGATGATTATTTTCAAAATACTTATTTCTTAATTGCAATCTGCTCCCCAACTATTGCAGCTTCGCCCGAACTGTCCATTCTTCCTCGCATATAAGGATCCACCATGAGCCATTCAGCCTGACACAAGATTTCTAAAATATTTGATCGAGAATATATACAATTTCATGCAAGGGCGAAAATAAAATTATAATTTCATACAACCAAACTCAAAATGGAAATTACAATCTACATTATAAGCTGGAAATGTCTGTTGGCAACGAAAGTGAAAGTAAATGTTCTGTAACGGAAGTGAAAGTAAAGAAAGCCAAGTTTCAAATGGCGCGAAAATTCAAAATAAATTAAATTCAAAAAATTAAATGCCAGAACCTGCGGTACTCTTTGTGGCTTATTTATGTGGGGGTAGTGGTTATCTGAGGGTGGGTGGTTATCTAGGGATGGTGGTTATCTGGGGGTGGGTGGTTGTGTGGGGAAGGTGGTTATCTGAGGGTGCGTGGTTATCTGCGGGTGGTGGTTATCTGAGGGTGCGTGGTTATCTGCGGGTGGTGGTTATCTGGGGGTGGGTGGTTATCTGGGGGTGGGTGGTTATCTGTGGGTGGGTGGTTATCTGTGGGTGGGTGGTTATCTGGGGGTGGGTGGTTGTCTGTGGGTGGTGGTTATCTGTGGTAGGTAATCTGATGGTGTTAGGGTCAAGGTGTCAAATTCCACTATCATTGGTGGTACAAGACTTCAGGTGGCCAGGCGGGTCGCCCTCAGCCGCGACGAGCCACGGGACTAAACCCCATTACGGATGAGCATTGGTGGTCTTGGTGGGCGAGTCGCCCTCAGCCGGGACGAGCCACCGGGATCAAATCCCATAACGTCTGAGCATTGGTGGTACAAGATTTCAGGTGGCCAGGCGGGCCAATGTCCAAAATCCAAGTTTTTGACATGGAATCGCAGCAAAATGGGCCTGATAATTCCCGATAAATAGAAATTGACTAGCTAGGATCGTTAAAGCTTCAATTTTCATTATGGCGGGAAAGCTTACTAACATTAGTGAGGTTTTATTGCAAAATATGTCCAAAATTAATTTTAAATTAAATTACAGAACGTGTGGTACTCTCTGTGGTTATTTATCCGGGGGTGGTGGTTATTTAGGCGTGGTGGTTTTCTGGGGGTGGAGGTTTTCTGGGGGTGGTGGTTATTTAGGCAAGATGGTTATCTAGGGGTGGTGGGTTATCTGGGGGTAATTAAGTAGTGAGAGTACACGGCCCGGCCCTCCTCAGCCCAGCCCAATCTCATCTCATAGTTAATGAGTAGTACACGGCCCGGCTCGGGCCGGGGCGGCTCGCCCCAGCCCAATCTCACCCACAGAATTATACTACTATATCTAGAAGACGTACTGGACGAGCGATAGTAGCCACCTTATGAGCGCCCGTCGTGGTCCTCAACCCAACTAAATAATACACTGGTGTATTGCACACCAGGGCCACGGGTTGTTGTCTCGAGCAATTTAATACACAGATGGGTATGTGCGCCACCGTCGCTCCAGTTCAGAACAACTATTTCTCTCCAATCTAAACTAAAGACAGGCCCCTTGATCTCACCTCATAGTTAATGAGTAGTACACGGCCGCGGCCCACTATCATATCGACGATATGACTATTCATAGCGACGATTGCCGATATGCTGCTTGCGCAACGGACAAATTTCTTTCACTTCCGTTGGCATCAAATAGTTTCAGTTAATAAATATCTACAAAAGATTTCGTTTGTGGAATTTTGAAAATAAAATCAACTCGCGCCCGGCGGGAGACGGGCTTATACGCTAGTTTTATATATGGAAATTACATGTTTTGGTAAAAAACATTGTTGTAAAAAATTTGTAATCACCTTCATCCTGAAGTTCAGGAATGGGTTCTTCCATAATTTTAAAATCACTGAGCTTAAGAAGTCCTTGAGGTTCCGAAACAACCGTCCATTTTTGGAATTCATGCCGAAGAAATTGTATATTTATGCATATATTTGACCAAAGTTATTTATCCGACTGCCTCCTGAAGTTTGCCAGTACCACAATTATATATTGATTGATTTATTTATTTATTCACATCAAACTTGATTTACAAAAATCTTGTTACGCTTGACGGCTAACACATAAAGGTTTTACACAAATGTTTGTCACATGTATGAGAATTTGAGTGATAATATAATTTATAATTGTGACTTGGTCATAAAGAGCAGAAGTAAAATTATATGTACATATATTTTAGGATAACAAAATAGAGATAATTTCATAATCATAATTTAAAAACAAGGTTTATACAAAACATTGGCGTCATATTAGCGTCACGATAGCGTAGCACCAGTTCTAATGTCTATGTAAATATATATATGTATTTGAGGTCCATATATTTATACAACATAAATTATGTTGCATGCATGCATACATATCGGCCAGGCACAACTATCGTCATCACAAAACACAGGGATATATTCACTTACATATTCCGTTACATAAATATATCAACGACAAATTGTTGTTGCGCATCCATTCATCGTAAATTACATCATGCATTCATGAGAGAAGCTACGAGAATATATGATCAAAAGCATGTATAAGTAAAATATATAAAAGTATGCATCAATCAAGGTCGCTGGACCCAGGAAAACTAGAAGTTGCACAAATATGAATAGTTTTGCGATTAATATGTACGTACAAACATACTACCACCCACCTGAATAGTTAATTCGAAATCAAAATTCGAAAATAAGTATTGAAATTACGACAGAAAATATTTACTTGGCCAAGTAAAGTTAAAAATTTTGATTGTGTTTTTCATAAATGGAAACATGAGAAATTCCATGAGAATAAAATCCTTTCATATGGGCCAGAATTTTCATAAGAACCGATTTGGCTTTGTTGGGGGTGAGCGCATCCCGTCAGAAATCTATTAGTGTGTGTAGATTACGTATGACTTTAGCAAATCCAAACTTTTACACTTGATTTGATGACAGGGAACATTAGCATGAGAAAGCTCATTACTGGAGAAAGTTGCGCCGTTCACTCACACACTGGCTCATCTCTTGCAGAATGAAATTGGAAAGTTGACAAGAGATGATGATGCATATGTTATGAACATGCAAAGCCCAACTATTGCTGCCGTCGTGCCGTCAAAAGTTGCAAAGTTTTTGGTCAAACTTATGTATAAGCCTCCTGTCTGTCTGCCCTATTCCGCACGACTTTAGCCTCGCGTAATAACCATCCTTTTACGTATGACTGATTTCATGGATGGAAAGTATTATTACATGTTCAGCAGTGAAAATATCCACGTACATACGTACCACCAAAACTGTATGCTTTCTTCAAAATTGTGTTTATTTTCGTATCGAGCATTGAGTTGGCATCCTCCAGCAAATGAGATGAGAAAGGTAATAATGGTGTGTGACATGAGGTGGATGCACGGATGTACTTTCCAGAAGAGATGTTTGGAGAGAAGATGATATGAAAATGTTGTTGACAAAGTTGTTGTTAAAGTTAATAAAAGGAATGGATCACATGGATAACAAAGTTTTGAGGACGGGGTATAGGTGGCTGTATGCAATATATGCATACCGTAAATATGGATTATAGGTATGAATCTCTAATAATGGGTAGTATTTAGTATTGAGTCTAAAAAGTCATCATTTACGAAAAGTTATAAAGCTACGAGCTAATTAAGAGTGCTTAAAGGTAATCAACTTTTTTTTGTATTGTTGTATTATGCAATCCTGACTTTTGAATATTGGTAGACGACAGGCTACGACGACGACCACTACCACTCATCCATGACCAGGACGGACTGACAAGAACATTGCCTTATGTAACCTACGCCCTCCTCGCCGGCATAACAACCTTACTTACTTTTTACTTTAGTTTATATATATTCTGGCCGGAACAATGGGCACTTTTCACTCCTTGTTGCCTGTCACTCCCTGTTTGTATTGAATGAATGTTGCTGCAGTGGTGAAAAGTGGGTTTGATGTGGGAGTGTCGCTGATGGGAATGGGATCAAAGGAAATGTTTTCTCTCGTCTCGTCTCCTTCTTGTTCGTTCCCAGGCTGAAATTCCTCCACTTTTGTCTGAATTCTGGACCTTAGCAGGCAGACGGAGGACCACCGTTCCGGAAAATGTTGATGGTCTTTTGTGTTTCATTCCACATCTATTCCTTCCTAGACCTCAAGTCAAGTCAAGTGGAGTAAAAGGGATCTTTAGATGCTGGATTCCCACGAATATATACGGCCCACAAATCACCAAGGCTTGAAGGAAAGGTGTGCTCTTCCTCTGTAACCTGTAAAATTTTGAGAAATGTTGAGAATTTGTTGTAGATAGCTGAAAAAACTTCTCCGAGTATGGAAATGTAATAAATATAAGAATATTGAGATGAATGTGGTAAAAAATGGTGACATTTTTGGCAGTGTTTCGTTTTCGTTTTGGGCGTCCGTCCAGTCCAAAAGTGTCCAAATTAATTTTGGGCGTCCGACAAATGTCCAACATTAGAAAATGGGGTTAAATCTTGCAAGTTCTTTATTTTCGACTTTTTTGCAAATCTATGCACAGATGCGTAATCTCCGATTTATTTCGAGCATTTTGGTTTGCAATACACGAAATTTGGAAACTCTTTTAAAACTTGCTCCCTTATAAGGCTCCCCTATAAGGTCCCTTATAAGGTATTAAAATATTTCAAAACCATTCCGGTATTACACACCAAAATGCCCAGAATTAATTGGAGATTACAGATGAGTCAGCAGATTATCGAAAGATGCAATAATAAGCTTGTAACATTTTGTCCAATTTTTTATTTGGGATACTTTTGGACATTTTCGACGCCAAAAATTCCAAATCCTTCCAATTCCAATTCCTTAAATCGTATCCAAAACGGTTTTTGACGGCTGTTTAAACCCACAGCGAACACTGATTTTTGACACCATTCTCACCCATGCAAAAAGATATGTTGATCTGCAATGTAGCTGAACATTATCAAAGCACCACTTTCTTAACAACGTATGAAGTGACCAAAGTGAGCAGAGGAGTACGGATGAATGGGAAAAGTAAAATAATGCATTTTGGATCCATGACATCTCTGAAAAAAATAAATCATTAAAAGTAATGTACTTTTTAGGTCGGATATATGAAGTCACATTCATGGAGTGAGGAGGATCCATTCTTTATGGGGTTCAGGCACACACGTAATAAATATTACCATTCTACTTCCGCATCCATTTCCAGACAACTATTTCCACTCCAAGAAACTCTCACAAACAAGCTCTCTTCTTCTCCCAAAACTTTCCCTTATCAATGGATCGGAAGTTTCTTCACTTATTTTGCTCGTACTTTCTCAAGAGGAGAAAATATTTGTGCTCATAACCAGTAACTTAAACAGCTCCTATTAGTTAATGAATTGAGAAACTTCCGGGGGTAGTGTAAATTGCATGCATGTGAATAGACATAGGCTTGTGTTGTGCATGAAGTATTTCGTGCAGAGGTTAATTTTAAGTTTGACTAAATCGAGGGACCTATTAATGTGGGAACAACAGGAAAAATCGGCGCTAGCCGTTTGGATTAGTTTCATGACCCTGGTACAAGATTAAAGATTATCTCAGATTTGACTTTTTATCAAGTTATTCAGCCGACTAAACTTGCACCCACTGTCCGATAGGCTTGAAATTTTGCACGAATGAAGGTATTAGTGTGGACACAAAAGGAAAAATCGGCACTGGTGGCAACGATCAAGGGGTCGTGCAAACCCCCACAAATGTTGGGAGTCTTGTAACCTAACCTAACCCCCACAAATTTTGGGGTTTAGATCTAACTGACATACTACATCTAATTACACTTGCATCTAACTTACATCTAACATTTGACTTACATCTAACTACATCTAATTGATTTTTCACGAGTAATTTAGAAGGTGCATGGACATCAAGGTTAACAAAAAGTATTTTGTCATTTTTATGAATGGACAAAAATCATACATAAATGTTTTATTAGAAATAAAGTTTAAATTTAATAAGTTAATTACCGTGAGACAGCAATTGCACTTATTTCATTCCAACATATTCCAATTGCCGATATGATCATGTGCAAGAAGTCGAATTTAAAATAATTAACGGACGTTACATTGCAAATATTTATAATAAAACTTAACGAGTACAAAAAATATTACATCATTCCAGTCCTCGTAATCATGATTTTGGATAAAATAGTATTTTTCATGGTTTTGGCAACCAGCCAAGCCGCACCCCCTGCAAAATGCGACCCAGCAAATGGTGCCGTTCTGCCGAATACACCTCAAATCGCATCGGCAATAAAATCTTGTCTAAATTCTACAAAATTTACATTTCCCGAAATAAAAAGTGAATCCGATCTGAATAAGTTTTTCATTGATTTTGAAGCGACAAAGTTTGATGACAAATGTTTCGCTAAATGTGTTGGGGACGAGTTGAAATTGGTGAGTTGTTGCTTAATGTGGTGATTAATAAGAAATTAACTTTTATGGTATTAATTGTTTGCAGATAACATCAGATAAAAAACTAAATCGTCAGGAATTTATAAAATTACTGAAATTTTCGATTGAAAAAATTGATAAAGTGATTGAGAGTGTTATGACTGCATGTGCGGATGAGGGGGGTAAGAAATAATGGAATGTGGTTATCATTGAGACTTATCGATTCATTTTTTGCAGACAATACTAACGACAATGTGTGCATAAAAGCAGCAAAATTTCAGATTTGTTTTGTGAAAGGATTATTGGATAAGAAGGTTGAGGTAAGAAATAATTTTGTGTTATTGAGTACGGATGTAAATATGTGCATGCGAAATTAAATAGCAGGATTACTTTCAGTAATTTAAATTTGCATTTTTGCAGACTTCAAAATGTTAATGTGATAACGAAATACGTCGAAATAAATGGGAACGCACAATTTAATCACTTTGTTTCTGGCCAATAAATTCATGATTGATACTGAACTATTTTAATTGAGAAATCCTTTGTTGTATTAAATAATTAAATTAATGCTTTGCAGGATTAATTATTTTCATTATTTTGCGATGTGTATTTATTTGAACTTCTGACCAATGGCAAGATTTTTTAGGATAATTCATAAAACATAAAAATTGATCCGTTTCAAACGACAAAACGAAACCATTCAGCTGTAAAACCACTTTTTTATATTCCAAAGAAGGAAAAAAACTTTGAAACGTGCAATTAATTTATTTTCAAGTTTAAACTATTGAATTATTTATGGAATGTGACATTGAATTTTATACGTAAAGGTTTAGCGACGATAATCTGGAGACTGATTAAGAAATAAAATATTACGTGTCCATTAATGGTTGAATAAAGTAAAATTATTGATTTGAAAATTGCGGTAATGAGTGAATTAAGTGAGGAAGATGAGAAGGAAACTCACTGAATTTTTGAAAAGCCAATTGAACCAAGAATGAGAAAAAAGTTGCGAGCTGGCCGGAATCGAACCGGCAACCTTTCGTTCTGATCACTACCGGGTAACCACTTTCCCCACAAAGCCCTGTGAATGGCTGATGCTTAATTCTCACACTTGGCTGATGCGTATTTGCGGCAAATAGAATACACTATATAAAATCGGAGTTTCGAAGTTTTTTGTGGGGCATATTAGGCCGTACCACGGCTAAACTCTCCAGGCCGGACGAAACGTCGCTACGGGCCTGAGTAAATGTAGGAACGTTGCATCCACGATTACTCCCATTAACCTTGGTCAATAGCATCATGCATCACCGGCAAAAAACTGCACACTATTGACATGCCAAACTTTCCTTTTGCGTTCTTCTCATTCTTTTTTCAGTCCCATTCCGCTGATAATGCTGCTAGGATGATGTGCTGCAAATCAAAATGTAAGCGATATATAAAGGAATGAAACCTGATGCCGGGTCCCAGTCCGTACCTGACTTTAGATTGAGTCGGATAAAAACTCTTAAAAAACTAGAGAAATGAGTTTTCGTACATTTTTGGCCTGTCTTCTACTTTTCGTTGTGGGTGCAGCGGTCACTCCAACTTTGGCTGAGGAACCCTTGCTCGAATTAGGAGACGGATTAGTTCAGGGTTCCACGGAGAATGCGAGAGGTGGTCGAGTGTTCTATCAATTTAAGGGAATTCCATTCGGAAAAGTCGTTGAAAGATTTCAGGTGCGAAAAGTAAACTCCTTTCGAGTATTTAAATTAAATATGCATCAATTTGACTAATTATGCAGCCATCCGTCCCTGCCGACAAGTGGTCAAATGTCTTCAATGCTACCGCGTTTGGCCCAGTCTGCGCCCAGTTTGATTGCTTAAACGGAGAATTCACTGGGGAAGAAGAGTGTCTGAATTTGAACGTTTTTACTCCAAAGGTGTTTATAAAATTTCTGGAAATTTATAAATAATTTGAAAATACTGTAATAAATTGTAAATAAAATGTTGATTCATACCAGCTACCCAAATCCGGTCATCAAACTAAACTTTACCCAGTCGTGGTCCTTCTTCATTTAGGGGGCCACTTTTTCGGCTCTGCACAACAATACAATCCGCACTACGTGATGGACCAAGACGTCGTCCTCGTCACGCCCAACAGTCGCCTCGGCCCGTTCGGCTACTTGAACACGGGAGACGCAAATGCTCCCGGAAACGTGGGTCTGCGGGATCAGAGCCTCGCCTTGAACTGGGTGAGGAAGAATATTCACCAGTTTTCGGGAGACTGGGAGAGGGTGACGTTGATGGGGGCAGACTCTGGGGGCGTGGATGCGCTTCTCCATCTCATCAACCCCGAGGACAAAGGCCTTTTTCATCGCGCAGTCGTCATGAGCAGCACGATTAATTCCTGCTCATTCGTCAAAGATCCGGCAGTCCAGGCCAAAAAGATGGGTGAACAGGTTGGGTGTCCAAACAGTGAGAAATCGGACGAGTTTGTGAAATGCTTGAAGAGTGAGATTTCCTAAAAAATTATGCAGTTTCATAGTTATTTGCATATTAAGAGTGGACGAAAATTTTCAGAAATGGAACCACTTGAGCTTCTCAAGAAAATGAAAGTTCCAACTGCAGACATGTCCGATTTCAAAGCGATGCAGCAGATCGCGATTTTTGGCCCATCAGTCGATGGGAAGGGCGGACTTCTGCCGAAAAATCCGTTCGAAATTATCAAGAGTGGGAAGGTCCCGAACAACGTGCCATTAATTATGGGCACCATCGCGATGGATGGGCTGGACCCTGCCAGTGCCAGTAAAAATCTAGTCTCACACAATTAATAAAATAAACCAAATGCTGATTAAAATACAAAAAATTTATTCTTTTAGCCTTCCTCAACGATACGGCCCTTTATAAGAAAACGATTAAAAACTGGATTGAAGATGGGCCTCAAATCCTGGATTTTTCGGACGCCAAAGATCCTGCTGGCATGGCGAAACAAATTTTTGACTTTTACTCCAAGGATGGAACCCTTTCCGGCGAAAGCTTCATTGACATGTTTACCGACAAGCAGTACGAACACTTTTTGCGATTTATTGCTAAAAGTTGGGATGGCGTTGTCCCAATGTACGTGTACCGATTCAACCACACCGAAACCCCGAATCGGGCAGTGGACATGATTGGATATCAAAATATTCCCAAGGGTCAGTGAAAAGGGCCACGTTTAACACTTTCCCATTAATAAATTAATATACGACTCGAGACTGATCATCAAAATCGTCAAAACCCACACATTTGTAATCATTTCTCGTCGCTGGGAATTTATTTTAAAATTCTGAACGACAAATTTAATTAAAACTGATTAATTACTTATGATTAAAAATGTGTTTATTTTGGTAATAAGTCCTCGAGTGCTACGTTAATAAATATTTGTGTGCGTAGGTCCAGGCCATTGGGACGATCTCCAATACTTGTTCAACATGTCCAACTCGTTCATGGTTCCGGTAACGACGGAAGACTCGCCACCAGTCGAGTACATCTTGTCCAGAGGCATGGTTCGAATGTGGACTTCGTTTTTTGAAACTGGGTGAGAAAATTATTTTACTCCTGTGTTCATAATTTCCGATGTACATTTTAACAATTTTTTTACCAGGAAACCCAGCGCACCTTGGGGAGAAGGGGAGGAGTGGGAGCAGTTCCATTTTGATGGAAACCAACCCAACAAAATTTACGAGGTGGATGTCACTCCCAAAATTGTACGAGATACGGAAGCTTTCCAAAAGCGAATGGAATTTTGGGACGCAATTTACGAAAACTTTGACGTGACCAACTCTGTCTAAGAAACTGGCTGAATTGATACTACTTGAATTGAATAGCTGTAATGGGATTAATTAATAATTACAATTCTATGATTTCATAAAAAATTAGCTTGAATTGTGCATAATTTTCATTTCTCTTACTCTGTTTCAATATGTGTACACAAATTCGATGAATAAAAATTTAGGATTAAGTTGCATTCAAAAAGTAATCTTTACAAGTGCGGAGTGAACATTTAGCACGTGTCAGGTTTTGAGGTGTCACTACAATTTTTACATTATTACCAGAGGGCGGATATGTATTTACTAAAAATCTGTGAAATATGTATATATGTAATATTTGCGTCAAAAATGCCAAAATATTTACGCAATATGTATGTACGAAACAACATTAAAATATAAAATTTTCGCAAAATTTGTATTTCTGAATATAATGCTCTGGATTTTTTGTAGTCGAATTTTTTTAGAAACAAAGTTTATAATATTTACAAAATACATGTATTTAAAAAAATATCTAAAAGATTTGTGAATTTCTCAATTAATAGCGGAAATATTTATAAATACATTTGAAAACCTAGAAATATGTGACAATGTGAAATTTTTTTTGTGATGTATAAAATTTTGAGACCACACCGGCAAAATTTTGACCGCCGGTCGTCATGAGATGAAAAAATTGTAAATAAATACATATCCGCTCTCTGATTATTACATTTTAGGATTCATTATTTTACGACTTGTATTAATTTGAACTTCTGACAAATATGACAAGACTTTTAGGATAAACCATAAAACATAACATAAAAATCAATCCGTTTCAAACGACAAAACGAAACCATTCAGCTAGGAAAGCACTTTTCGAAATTCTTAAATGCAAATATGCGTACAATTTTTTTCAAGTCGAATATGTCGATCTCCTTTCGTTTTCCAGCGGCCAAGCTTGCACTCTTAATAACTTGGTGACAATATTATTACAGCTGTACGTAGGTTGGTACTATGTAAATGTATTCCATTCTAAATCAGTGTGTGCAAAAAGGCAGCCTTTTTGCTATTTGCTCATGCCTTTTTGCCTTTTTGAATGCTCTTTTGCCTTTTTGCGTGCGTTTTTAATAATTCCGAAATAAGTCCGAAAACCTCCAAAGATATATGTTTAGCCATTTTCTTATAAAATGAAAATTTCCTTAATTTTGTTTTATTTCGGAAAAAAATAATCATTAACTGTGAGGATTTGAAGCCGTTAGCAGTTTTATTGGTTTTTGTGAATGAATAAATAAGTTCATCGTATTTATGAATGAATTTGTAGTATTCAAATGAAGTTGTGAGTAAATGAGTTTACTATTAACTCATTTGAATACTATGAACTCATTTGAATACTACAAATTCATTCATAAATACAATATATTAATTTATTCATTCACAAAAAACCAATAAAACTGCTAACGGCTTTAAATCCTCACAGTTAATGATTTTTTTTTCGAAATAAAACACAATTAAGGAAATTTTCATTTTATAAGAAATTGGCAAAACATATCTTTCAAAAATTTTCGACATTATTTTTCAAATAATGTCAAAGACCACTTTTGTTTTTATAATTAAAATGAGTCACAAACAAATTTGATATTTTCGATTCTATTTTTATTTTTATTTTTATTTACTTTCATTTTTCAAAAATAGATAATCCTTTCAACAAAACAGCCCTGAAGGGAAAAAAATCTGTCCCATTTACGATTATTTGTTAAGGTTAATGTTCATGTCCGCTATTTAACACGCTGAGGAAACTTTGTCACAGGCAGGTCGTCAATTCAGTCGGAGCAGCAGTGAACCTGAAATGTCAAAAATTGTCAAAAAATTGTCAAAAATTTCAAATGTCAAATGGCAAAAAGGCACCCATTTTTGTGGGGCAAAAAGGCAAAGAGGCAGGCAAAAAGGCACTGCCTGCCTTTTTTCTCTGCACACACTGCTGCTAATACTCGTAATTTGTTATCTAAGAGTAACAAAATTGCCTCCAGTGTCGGTGATGTTTTATTACTAGGTCGCTAACATTGTGGAAGACCACTCACACTTCCAGATAATCGTAATCGATTATACAATTTTTTCTCAAAAACGGAACTTTTTCAAAAAATAATTGGTTATTATGATAGCTAAGGAGGGGAGGCTGTGTACTATCAACTCACGGATCTCGATGCCCGTTGGATATGTTGTAGTGTCCCATGAATGTACAACAACCCTGAAGTGGTTTGATTCCATGGCCACATTTGCGCCCACCACACCCACTCAAAGGTGCCCAAAAATCGCTTTCACTCCAGGTTTCACCCATTCAAAACCACACCAAAAATCCAATTTTACTCCGATTTTCAAATTTCTTTCACCATTGTACTCCCAGATAGTTGCTTTCTTATTTCCAACATCAAACTCAACTTTTTTGATGATTATTTCGCAGGCATAATTTGTTTTGTTGATTACTACAACAATGCTCATTCAGAAATTTAAATTTTAAAAATACTAAAAATTTCAAAAAGTTGAGTTTGATGTTGGAAATAAGAAAACAACTATCTGGGAATATAATGGTGAAAGAAATTTCAAAATCCGAGTAAAATTGAATTTTTGGCGTGGATTTGAATGAGTGAAAGCCGGAGTGAAAGCGATTTTTGGGCACCTTTGAGTGGGTGTGGCGGGCACAAATGTGGCCATGGAATCAAACCGCTTCAGGGTTCTTGTACATTCATCGGACACTACAACTTATCCAAAGGGCATCGAGATCCGGGAGTTGATAGTACACAACCTCCCCTCCTAAGTGTCAATGCATGTTGCGTCTCTAATGCTTTTAGAGCGTCTTTCACCTGTAGTTCACCATTTTAGTAGTTTCTTTTTTAAATTTATTTATTGATGCCTGAAAACATTGCACGTGTGCAAATGTGTCATATTGTGCAATTCGTGTATAATTCGTGATCTTCAACAATTTTCAAGCCCACTCCCTTATATACTGAATGTCACATGCAATTGTTCCTGATTTCGATTCAATTTCCAATGAGTCATTAATTACAAGCATGTCATTTCATAGCTGATGACGAGACCAGCGATATCGGAATTCAATGAGCTATAATAATACCTCTTGAGCAGCAGTTATCTCTTCAATCACTGCAATCCTGAGGGAGAAATGTCAACGAAATCAGGGGAAAACCTCCAATACATACATATGTACATCACATCGAATGCCAATTAAATGTCAAACACACTCAAGTATTGACAAAATGTAGCATACCGCAAATGGGTGCATGCTACTTACATTACGTTTTGTTTTGGGTTTTCACAAATTTCAGAATGAACTGTGAAATCTTCAAGTGGAATGAATGTATGGGGGATATCCAAAAAATCACAGTCAAAGGGTTTTCCAGACCTGGGCTTTTCATCTACGATATACCGTGTGAGGTATGCTGTGCACATGTCCTTTACCTGACGAGAATGATAAACTTGATGCACCACTATAAATACTTGGATTCATTCGCTTAAAAATTCAGTTCTATTCTTTCCTTGGAATCAAATCAACGAACTAAAAACGATAAGATTTTTCAAACGCAAAATCATCAAAATGGTTGCCCAAACTCCAGAACAGACCGTATTCGCAGAGGACGCAGTGCTCGAAAGCACATATCCCAGAATTCCAATCCCAGATTTGGAAACGTTGAGTGCTTGCGAATTTTTACTCAACGCTGCAAAAGAAAACGTAAAATTGGGAAGAACCAAATGGCTGGTAAGTTAATTAAGATTTGATTTCACACGCACAAAAACATTCAAAATTATTTTTGAGAGATTAATTTGAAATATTTCAATCAACAGACAAACACAATCACTGGAGAGACGCTCAACTTTTCTGACGCGGAGCCAATGTCCCGTTCAGTCGGCAGTGCCATGTTCAAGAGGGGGATGAAAAAGGGAGACGTTTGCCTCTACATGACCACGGACGTGACCAAAGTGTTCGTCTTCACGTTGGGAGTGTGGCGATGTGGAGGGATCATGTACTCCTCGTATCCAGAGGACACACAAGACACAATCCTCACAAGGATTGAAGAGTCGAATGTGAAATGGGTCCTTTGCGACGCTGGTTCAGTACCGCAAGTGAAGCAGGCCATTGCTCAAGTCCCATGGGCAGTGGAAATCATGGTCATTGGAGACGTTGACGATTGTACAAATATTAGCGAAATTTTCGAAGATGATGGTGCCGGTAAGTATTTAGCATGCATCAATTTACATAATATTCTGGTTGTGAATAGCTATTAATTTTAGAATTTCTCATTTGACAGAATGCCCAAACCTTAGCGAAGAAGCAGATTTGGACGATCCGCTTCTCATCCTCTGCACTTCCGGTACTACTGGAAAATCGAAGGGTGCCGTCTACACGAATCTTCAAGTCCTGGCTTTCACCATCGGCACTTCCAACATTCCATACAATGAGGCTCCAGCCATTCTTGTCCTCAGATGCACCCACGTCCTGGGAATGCTGTTTCCCATTCGAAACCTCAAAGCTGGGGTGTGGTCCGTCCTCATGCACGACATCACCAAAGAGAATATTTTCAAGGCTGTCGACCAATACAAACCAGTCCTCGCTTTCGGATTCGCGACCTTCCTGGTTCTGCTCGCCACTGACCCCGAAGCCAAGAAGTATGACCGATCCTCACTCGAGGTCATTATCACTGGAGGAATGGTACTGACTGAAAAGTTCTACAACGACATGATGACTCTTCCCTCTGTCAAATGTGTCTTCAACGGATACGGGATGACCGAATGCGCCGCGCTCACGACCACAATCGACCTCTCAGGTCTATCACAAGGGTACAAACTCATGCCCAACGTGCCTGCACTTTCTTGTGGAAAACTGTACCCAAACACCTCCATGAAAATTTTGGACCTCGACAACGGTCGCGGACTGGGACCCAAGCAACAAGGAGAAATCGCGATTGCGAGTCCCATCATGTGCTCAGGATACTGGAAGGGATCTGCCGAAACCAACAGCCTCTTCCAAAATGGTTGGATGAGAACGGGGGACTTGGGATATTATGACGAGAACGGCTTTGTCTACGTGGTGGACAGAATTAAGGAAACCTTCAAGTACTTCAACTGCCATGTAAGCAAATACTGAAATAAATTCAATTTTTGCGATTATGAGAGACAAAGACTAATAAAATTATTGTTATTTTGATGCAGATTTCTCCAGCGGAAATTGAGGAAATTATCCTTCACCATCCCTCAGTTGAGGAGGCCGTAGTTGTGGGCGTGGTTGACCCCGACGGTGGTGACAGAATTCCACGAGCATTCGTTGTCCTCAAACAAGATGCACAGAACGAGGCTCCAGATGTTATCCGAACATTTGTGGATAACCAGGTTGCGCCCTACAAGAAATTGAGGGGCGGTCTCTACGTGATTCCTTCCCTTCCAAAGAACAAAACCGGAAAGATTTCCAGGACTGATTGCTTAGAATTGGAAGTTCAAGCTCCTGCTTGTTAATTTCTAGGCAATTGCCGGTGGAATCTACCTCTGATTAAAAATACGAATGACTGAAGATCTATGTACGAAACTCTTGCTGGTCAAGATTTTATGTATAATTTATCGTGTAATTTAAACAGCGCATATTTATTAATACTATTATTTTAAGTTTATTTAATTTATGCTAAATACGAATAAAAAATCGAATTTAAACTCATAATTTTTTCACATTACTCATTTTTTGGCAGTACAGATAAAGATCTAAAATTGATGCAATTGTAAGCACCATTGAAATATTGACAACAATGACGAAGAGTTAGCTCATTCTACTAAATGCATGGCTGGCAAAACCCCCTCTCACATACTCACTAAATCCCCAACGGTCTTCCCCTCTCTCTAATTTCTCGTCTAAATATCCTCCTCGCGTCTGCTTTCGATTCTGTTTAATTGAACTTGGTTGATTTTTGTGAATAGAATGAAAGGGGAAATTGCTATGAAAAAGTTTGAATTAATCAAAGCATGCGTGCCACAGGACGAGCGAGCCCCAGCCAAGCCAGCCACCAACCCAACCTGCCTTTCATTTTCAATTCTAATTCTGACTCTTTATCGCTGATTTGGACATTGACATTACTCTGCACTATGTGCACTGGGTTCCTTTCATTTCATGGGAATGGGAAGAAAAAAGGGATTACGAATTTAGAAATTTCCTCCATTCAATACTTTTTGTAATACTTTAATTGTTCCGATTGTGTGTGCTTTGCTAATGTATGTAACGCAAACGTAAGTAACGCAATAGGCTCCTCTCGATGAAGAAGAATTGAAATAAGGAGGCGACGAATGAAGTAAACTTTAATCGCTCACTCTCATTTTCATGCATTTAATTTATTACCAGCGTCATTACGAAATTGGCATTTGCTCAAGATACATGGATTCATGGAACTTTCGTTATTCTAGCATTTCCGCAATAGACTCAAAATGAGATCTTAGCCTTTAACTTCATTCTACAAAAAAAATAAAAATATGGAGGACGATAAAATTTGTAGCTTTTCAGATTTTTTACCATTTTCAAAAGAGTCGTTCCTAATTACTAAAATTATAGAAATAAAGTCAAAAACGTCAAGGTTATCAAAACCTCCTGCAGTCTTTCGCATGAAGGATGTCTGTAGCACACTTTTAGTCACAATAGTGCTCATTTCTGCCATAATTAGCTTCACCCATGCCAGTGAGAGTTTAAGTGATTACGACGACCAAGACTACGTTGAGAATAATGACGAGAATTATAATGGCAACAGAGGAGCCGACCTTAATTACTACGCAAAATTTGGGGATACTTTGAAGAACAAAAGTTTTGTCGCATTTGTAAAACAAGTGAATTATATAAACCGATATCGTGGTCATGATAGAAAGATACGTCACAATCTTTTGTCTCCCACGAGCAGTCATAACAATGAGGGCGAGAATAAGGATGACCAGAGTGCCGATCAAAACGGGTACTACTACGTGGGTAGTAATAAAACACATAATTTTATCCGCGATGACATTGAGGAGGAGCAATTTGAACAATTTTTGCAAAATCTGGAACGTGACAACAATTACACCGAGAGTGGTGACCGGTGGGAGTTGAACGGGGCCGGTGGAGAAAGTGGTCAACAACTTAACAGTATGAACAGCATGGATGATGATGATGACGAAATTGGTCTCCGACCACCTCCACCGCCCCCACAGCCAGCACAGCCACGCCCATCGACCACGATAATCATTGAGGACTTGCCCAGTAAAAAACGACCGAGTGATAAGAAGCAGAACGCGAATTCTAAGCTGCCAGGATTTGATCTTTTTGACTATCGAAAGAAACAATTTGGTAAGTGGAGCTATCATATATTTTTTATTTTGTGGGCCGTGTGTACGTGCACCATCAAATTAAGCCAAACTCCAGGAAGTGATTTGGCAATTTCGAAAGTTGAACAGCGATCTTCCTTCCTTCGTTTGAACTTACTTGTGTAGCTACAAACCGACAATTTCCCGTTAACACTTCTTCATTTATCATCATCATTTGTCCCACTTTTAGTAAAACAGAGATAAATTATTAAGAACAATTTGTGACAATTTAATTGCCTCTCTTTTCAACCCAACTCGAACAAGCCTTCTGCTTAAATGCATTTTTTTCTTTCTTCGTCCTTGCCGTGCTCTAAAAACCATGAAAAAACATGCAAATTCACTTATAATATAATAACTCAGATTATCTCAAATGCGATCAATTGCAACCTAGCCTCGCCCACGGAGGAGTCACACACCTCATGTCATCTCTCATACTTGACGACCACTCGAGACACATATTAAATTTAAATCTGACTCGTCTAACTTTTACCGAAATTAACAGAGTCGCAATGAAGTCGCAGTGGTGAAGATAACATTAAAGATAAGGGGCTGAAGTGCATTTTAATTTGTACGACAACGAAACGAGAGGAATTTTAGCGTTTAATTTAATCTTAATAAATGATAACACGGTGCAGCATGTAAGTCACGTTGGGCACAAGTCGGCTAAAAGTGATAAAGATGAGGTCCAATGATCACAACAAAGGAAGGCACTTTCGAGTCAAAAACATTAACGAAATTAGAGCGGATCTTGTTCACGATTCACGTTTTGATGCTTCATCTTTGTGAGGAATCCACGTAGAAATTATGCTCTCAAACTTGTGCATCAAAAATCCTTGCATTTCTCATTTTATGAATTATCTACATTTTCACACTTGTTCTTTTCTGCAGTATCAAATTAATTTTATAAATACATATGTCACATGTGTGTACCTACTCGTTTTCTAAAAGAAAAAGAAAGGGTTGCAAGTTCTGTTTGTTTAATGCCAATTTTTAGAAATGCATAACCATTTAAATGTAAACGTGAATTATTGAGTGTTAAATACAGTGTTTTTACAAATATGAATAATGTAACAAGCCAAATGGCCCTGACATTTGAGTAATAAGGTTCTTTTTTCATACTTTACGAAAGGTGGAGTGTAGTCTAGATAGCGAGCTAACAGTACAAAGGGAGGTTTGTTTGAGAGATGCACTATATTGCATCGCATGCAGAGGCAAGTGAGTGAACTGTTTAGAAAATAAGTTTAAAAATTTAGGCTCAAAGTGCATAAAACTCGCATAAAAATAGTAAACCCAACACAACACTAACATGCGATGGGATATGTAGCTAAAAAACACTCTACTGCTTATTATTAACTCAGACGCTGTATTCCGACGACTTGAAGTCCATGGCTTCAATTTCTTAGATGCATGCATATAACGTTGTCGGCTTTGTTGAACCTTATCATCCGCCATAAAATTGGAAAGAATTTATGGATCGGCTACAACTGATGTGGTGCAAACTTGAATTGCAATTTCCAGAAATTACAATACTTCAGGTAGTTTTTGATACTCAAGGTAAATTAAAATGTTGAAATGTGTCAAAATATATAATAGGATATGATTTATGTTTGCCCTCCGTAATGCATACTCGTATCTAATTTATACATCATACTCGCACTCAGGTTAGTTAGCAAAAATTGTACATTTTTACTTATACTTCTACGCCTCCTTCGTCATCATTATTATTTATTTACCAAAACATAATACGTACGAAGCAAAAGATCTGATGAATCCAACCAAGTGCACGAAGCGTAAGATCGGGGACAGATCCTTATTTACTTACTTTTCATTGCTTGAACTGTTACTCTACATTGTTATAATATGGAATGAGTCTTATTGTTGAGAACGGTTACGGTAGCAAATTTTTAAGTTATGCATTGACTCACTGACTGCCTCGTCGTCTCCCCTCATTCAAATTCTACTTTATTTTACCTTCTTCCAGACAGAACAAAGACGAAACGAAGCAGAAACAGCAGCAGCGTTCTGTTTTGTATTCGAATGCACAGAAAGGAAGAAGGTGTGCAGAGCTTGGTAACCTCTATCCAACGAGAGCTGTTGCTAATTTACTAAATTTGGTAGCCCCACCAGTTCAATTTCGTAGCTCAGGCTGCTTATTTCAGTCGCTATTTTGAACTTAAGCAAGAATCAGTAAAGAGAGGATCGGTTTCAAGTAATTTTTTAAGTAATTTTATACGCATATGTAGATCTCGAGTGAAGACGTGTCTACCTAGTAAATTGTTAATTGATAAGTTATAAGAATAAATAAGGGAGTTATTTGTGTACAAGAAATCATAAAAATCAGAAAAACTCTACCAGCAGCCGCAACATTGCGCATCCGGTTATATCCGGTCCATTGCAATTGAATTCCCACCTCATTACTGCAGTAACAACTTTTTCGACAATGAATCCCTTCCCACAGTAATGTCATGATATAGCTACAAAAAACATTTAGGGTTGTGCTGGGGTCAAACCCTGTGTTAAAAAACTGTCAATATCATCCTCCACCTGAACCCCGTGCACGCAAGGAAGGAAGGAAGTGTGATTACACATCCAATCCAGCCAGATCATCGTCATAAATAAATACTCGCAACTTTTCAAGTTTAAACATCGTGTTGTTGGGGTTGCATTGTGAATTTTGTGCATGAAATTCTGTTGGGTCGTGTAACACAATAAGCGTAATAATAGGCAAACTCCCAATTTAATTTGGTTGCTCCAACGTACGCAAATGCATAACAACTGAGAACACTAACGGAACGGACTCAACAATGTCAAGTCGGGTGCAATGATTCGCAAATTGGAGGAGACAATCGCCCATAGGAATAGTGTTGTAGCGTAATTGTTGCAATGGTAATTGTCGTGGTGTCGTGATAGTTTGTGGTGGCAGCAGCAGGGCAACAGCTCCTGATACCAGGATGACATTCATTTTACGGAATTTGTGAATGTTTTCATTTTAAAGGGATAACATGAGAAATAAGTTTCCGATCCTTGCGAAATAACTTAAAAACTGAGCGAAAATGGGGAAACGTCGGGAGAAGCAAAGCAGAAAACCTTTCCGAGTAAAGGAGAATGATCTCGATAGTTTAGGGAATAAGTCAAACAGCACTTGTTCACTTACCAAAAGTATTATTATGCAGATTTTGGGACATTCTCATGCAAAATTTGGTCCCTTAATTAGCACCACGATATTGGGAGTATTCCTGCGGATAATAATTTGTTCAGTGCTAAGTGTGGAAAGTGCTGAATATTTGCCAATTCCAACCACCGATTTGGATTATACGTACAGTTATAAGCTGAACAGGGATGCGTTTCAAAATAGCAATCGGAGGAAATCATCCACCTCGAGATATCCGAAGCAATACTTGTGGGGAAATAGTTCCCTGTCCAACGGCGGGGGTGTGGATGGGGGTGGTGGTGGGGGTGATATTAGTCATAGCGATAGTTCGCCTGTGTTCTCACATTCACCATTTAGTACGAGGTATGTGCATGCATATTTACTGACATATCTACGTATCATCGCTGTTCGTACAAAAGTTGTCGGTTGAGAAGCCAGTCTGGAAGTTATCGGATCAATTTTTTGGAGATATGAGACTTTAAATTATAACATATCGTCACGTTTTATCCGCATTTTCATCTGACAACTTCTGTAACCGACAACTTTTGCATGAATAACTACGATACGTTGCAAGATCAAGAAACATGCAACTCGTATTTACTTTCTAAAACGAATTTTCCATATCTGCACTTGTAAAGATTCGGCCACTCCTCGTCCACTTCATCGTTTTACGCCACAACTGCACCACCAACAACGTCACGCACACCAAGTGATTACAAATACAAGACAAAGTACAACAAATTCGGATTTCCCGTCCCATCGGAACTTGGTTACGCTGCTTCTTCAGGGCTACAGTCTGGAGAGTCAAATTTATCATTCACGAAAAGAAAGGGGACCGACTCGCCGGCACCCTCAAGATACGGGTTCGATCGGCTAGATGACTACTACAAACCGGTGAAAGCATACGGTGGTGGTAACGGTGGGAGTGGGAGTGGTAGTTACTACTCAAAGGAAAAGTATAGAAAGTATAACGGCAACACCAACAACAACAACAGGCCGATAAGCAGTTGGGACCGAGAGAAGGAAAGAAATGACAAGATTTTAAGCCAAATGCTGGACACGACGGGGGACGACGGAGGGCTTGATTTCCAGCACAAGATGCAACTTCATGAACTTCTTTACACGAATAGAACGCGAATTGGAAGTGCAATCGGGAGCAGTGGCACCGATGACGCGAGACAACTCTCAGGTTTAAATATTAGCTGATTGGCACAACAAACAGAGCACCGTAAATGCATAATTATATAAGTTATTGGGGTGGCACAATAAGGTTACAATATCGGAAAGGAGACTGTTTAGTATTGTGGTTAAATTTTGTTGGACAGGTCGCACGGTTTAATTGCTATACTTGAAGATTGACTGACTGGGAAAATTGCATTATTTCAGTGATTCCCCAAAACTGTTGGCATGCTGGAAAAATGTACGCTTGTGGATTGAGGTAATTTTTTTTAAATTTTCGTCCTGACGTGATATTATCGAGAAAAAAATTACAAACTTCAGTTTCTCCTCCGCATAATTGTGTCAAATCTATTTTTCCGTCTGAAAAGATACCGTTGATTGTTCGTTCTCGTATAAATGTCCGAGTTTGTGGTATCTTTTTCGTCGACGATCTTGTGGTCATGCTTGCTGACATAATTTATTCTTTCTTTCCTTCTTACCAGCGTCTCTTGCGTGCTCCAAGGGTCCAAACCTCTCGATCTCTGCAATGGTGGGATGATTTGGGTATGAAAAATTCTATTAATGCTGCTTCATAATCATTGCTATTGAATATTTCCGTCACATTTTTTTATTCTCATTCCATGAAACTATTACCAAATCATAATGACTAAATCTCCACAGGCTTGCTGCGTACCAAGGGAAAAAGCTGCCGAGTCAAATAAGGACGTGGGGTTTGTGGACAGTCCTCGTAAGTCCTATTTTTATCTAATTCTCGTAAATATTTGCATAAATAAATACCTAGAGAAATTCGACTAGAGATTAAATACCAGATTTATCAAGAAATCCTATTTCGCAATTCTTTTCAAGTCAATAGTTTTATCAAGTTGAGCACAAACCAAATCTTTAATAAGATGAATGCATGTAAATAAATACATGAAATCCCGACAACATGCAAAATGAATGCGAGGATCCTGTTATATTCTCACAAGACAAGCATCTTTGGTCCAATGGAATTTTTGAAAGAAATTCGTCGAGGTTGAACTTTGTCAGGAGTCAAGCCCAATTTTGTCACAGTCATTACATTTCATTTCAACGTCAGTTCAACCCTCGATCTCAACGACACGAGACGACACGGGCCAATGACTCCGTGTCGTGACAATAATAATATCTCAGACTATCAACTTGTTTTGCATGTCTACTCCTACTTCTTAGAAGAACTAGCATTATTTATTGTATTATTGCGAATTGTTAACATGTATTTCACCCAAAAATTGACTTTCCCAACATTTTCAATGTTTTTTTAATCCCACAAAAAAAATCTTCAGAATCTGGTAGCAATAAAAGCTACAACTACGACTTGTACCAAACTTCTGGAATTCTGGATCTTGACCGAGATCGTAACCGTGATCGGGATCGAGATCGCCCCTACGCCGCCGCTCTGGCGTCGACGATCGGCATGGCTGACCCCTACCGACCAATTCCTCTCGTCACCACCAAACCCTCGTCCTCCTTTCATCGACCCTACTTTTTCAAAACGTCGTCTTCCACCACGTACAAACCCTACATTTACAGCAACAACCACTACTCCACCAACGCGATAAGTCTGGACGATGACTCGTACCCTTTATATCCCGGAGATGCGGTCAAGTTCCGTCCAACCAAAAAGCCCAGCAGTTACGATAACCCTCACAAGTACCCGATAAACAATGACATTTACTCCAGTCGACCATACCATCCTTCCACGAATACGAATTACCATCAGCAAAATTACCACCATCATGACGATGTGAACAAAGGCCATGGAGGGAGCAGCAGCAGCATTGGGTCATATTTTCCCACGACGAGGCCACAACCCCCACAACAGAGTCAACAGGGTCAAGGACAAGGCTCCAGCTCCTCAGTTTCTTCAGGAAATTCAGATCGGGACCGAGGAACGAGTCATATTCTGCCCCACTCGTCAAAGGGTACAGAAAAAAGATGCAGTTTTGTTGCACATGAAGCACTTCTGCACAAATGCACCCATTTAATTTCTGTAGTAAAATATCCAACTGACTCGAAATACCTACTTAATCTTGACAAAGAGAAAAAGACCCAGAACGATTTCGTAGTAATGGAAAGTGTTACTTTCATGAATCAAATTTTTGGTTTAAAAATCCTATTGATCAGAATTTTGCAAACATAAAAGCTCAATGCAATCTCATCCGTTCGTACTACAAAAAAATTCAATCTGTATTTATTTATAATTCGTCTCAAGGAGTGAAGTAATTCGATCTCACGATGCAGTAGCTTTCTACCAATTTAAATATCATTTTTATCCTCTTTCTTCCACAATACGATGATGTCACATGATCCCATTGTTACCAATTTTAGCCTCATGATACAGATTCGATTATTCAATTTGAAACGTAATTCTTGGGACAATACTAATAATTATGTTGCATAGAACAGCTTTCGTATGGCAGAAACTAATACAGCTTCCCTGCACCTTGCCTTCCTTCCTATTTGAAACTAAACAATGATTAGAATCCCATTTGTTTCCCAGCAGTAGAACAAGAATGGAAGAAAAGAGTGATGACATGTTTGAAATAATTGTTGACATTTCTTTGTAATTTGAGCCGAATTTAATTTAATTGCAATCTTGTCCTACACATGTAAATAGATATGTACATACATAGTTTAAGTAAATGCTTGTCGTCATCCTTGCTTCAGTGAGAGACGAGATTACTTCCAAATAAATTGGACGACAAAAACTTTCTTCTTTCGAGTGAAATGAAGTAATTGTTATATAAATGGAGTAGAAGGGCGAGTGATTAGGTACCCTCGTCAAAAAAGCCACCATTATTTGAGAGAGAGAAATCTTTTACGATCAATTAAATGACGAGACTGAGAAAATTATGGGTGTACTTATGTATTGGATGCCAAATTACGATATCTTGAAATTCGTCGCACTGCACAATTGAATTTATAATAAAAATGCACTGCTCGCTTTGAAATCACAGATTCTCACTTTGTTACTCAGAAAGCACTAATAAATCACCTCGAGAAACTGCAAGTGCATGTGTGCTCCAATTAATTGTGAATTATTTAATGTTTTGTTACAGAGTGTGGGCAAATTTATACGCGATCCAACCGCATCGTCGGAGGCCATGACGCTTCATTTGGGTCCCACCCGTGGCAAGCGGCCATAATCAAGCAGAGTTTCTTATCAAAAAGGATCGCATGTGGGGGTGCGTTACTTAATGACTATTGGATTGTTACGGCAGGTACAAAAAACATGAAACGTATTTCGAAGTATCGCGTAAAATTAAAAAATTTTAATCTAATCTAAACCTAATAAATCATTTATTTTTATTCCTCTCTTATGAAAATCAACTCATCTCCCAACAAGCTCATTGTGTGTACAGGTGAACTAAAATAAATAAAAAACTACATAATTTATACAATTTCTTTAGTTTCGATCGTCGAATTTCTCAATTTTTTGTGCAGCACTCCAATCGGAAGTCTCAAAGTTCGCCTTGGCGAATGGAACGTCAGACAGCAGAATGAACGATTGACGCATGAAGACTACGTCGTTGAACGGAAAACAGTAAATGCATTTATTTAAAATTGCGAAAAAACTGAGGTTAAAATGTGTAATTATCATTAAGGTACATGAGCAGTACAACCCATCCGATTTTAGGAACGACTTAGCGGTGAGTACCATTTTTGGAGTGAACGATGTACAAACATGTTCATAATTTAATCCCAATTTTTTTTTAATTCCGCAGCTCTTAAAACTTGCTCGGCCAGGTATTATAATTTAAACCTAATTTTAATTCAAATTGAAATTTAATCAAATTTAATTGCCAGTCCAGTATAAAGAACACATTGTTCCCGTTTGCTTGCCAAAACCCAAGGAAAGGTAAGTTGTAAATGGATTAAAATGTTTGTTGGTTTAGATTTTTTTGTACAATGCATCAGCAATTTTATTTAAAACATGGTTTTTCAGCTTTGCTGGAAGGATGGCGACCGTGATTGGTATATTATTACCCTAAAATTTAATTGTATTAAAGTCGTGATGGTCTAAACATGTGCATTATTTTGCCAGGTTGGGGAAGAACAAAATATAAATATGGTATGTTCATATGAAATTATCATTTTAGAATTTTACAAAAATTTGTGCAAAGTAAACAATCATTTTTACAATGTTGCAGGATTAGAAGGTATGTACGACGTTAATGAAAGAGCAGATCACATTTTTTACGAGCTAATTCAAATATGAAATCGTGTAGCATTATCAGCAACGCCAAGCGTCCTTCAAGAAGTGGATGTCGAAGTCCTTTCGCAGAGCAAATGCCAAGACATGTTCCGAAAAGCTGGGAGGAGAGAGACCATTCATGACGTGTTTTTATGCGCTGGTGATTATATTTCCAAATATTTAAATGTGAGTATTCGATGTCATGTCATGAAACTTTGTACTTTTTAGGGTATCCTGCCGGTGGCCGAGATTCGTGTCAAGGTAAAAGAGTTTGCAAGATTATAATTATTATCCTGCTCGATTAAATATTATGGTTTTTACGATTATTGATTTATCTAATTTTGATTTTGCAACTTTATAGGAGATTCAGGTGATTACTACTCGGGGATGATTTACGAGGGAATCAGGTAGCTTATTGCTTCGATTTTCTTTACAGGAGGCCCACTAACTACAGATGTCGACGGCCAGTTTACACTCGTGGGACTTGTCAGTTGGGGAATAGGGTCTGATTTAATTATTTATTTGATTACATGTAAATACCACTTATGATTTTTAAACGATATATGTATTTCAGATGCGGAAGAGAAAATTTACCAGGAGTGTAAGCAAATTTAGCATATTGTGTCTATCGGTTGAAAGTTTCTTAAGAACGAGGATTTCTAAATTTAAATATTTATATGTAGGTACACGAATTTGGCAGAATTCATTCCTTGGATCGTCAAAAACACGGATTAAGTCAAATGGATCACCAATTAGGCAAGACTTTATAAATTGTATCAGCTACATGTATGTCGCGAAACAAGGCTACCAAGTATTTATAATTTTTTACGGGTTAGAAAATAAATTCATTGTTATTTGTTATGTTATAAACAATTGCGTATATATTTATATACATATATTATAAACAAGTCTTCTATTCAGGACAACATATTCTGAATTTTTACAACAAAAATGGTATCACAACTACACCATCTGAAGTTATTGACTATGTGATGTGACTACTCTTTTATGGGCATTAAGTATCATATAAGCTGATTGTGAAAATGTATAAGGAACTTATTGGATTACTCGGTTGCGAAGATAAGCCATGATGACATCCGTCCCTTGACTAATAATTTGATAATTTGGCACTCGAAAGGCGTTTCCCTCAATACTTAAAGACCTGAAAAACATAATCACGATAAAATATTCAACTTTTTACAAAGATTGAAATTATGTAAATATGTTTAGTTTAAAAACTTACTTTAATTGGGTCATCAGTCCAATCTCGGCTGGCATTATGGCAATATTATTATTTCGAACCTGAATAATCAATGATAATTCCAAATTAAATTTGAAATTGCCAACTTATTGTAATTTAAATTAAGATAATTACATCAAGGACGGCTAATCGTTTCAATTTTTCCAGATTCTTTGGTTCAAGTTTATCCAACTTATTGCAAGCCATGATGATTATCTCGAGGCTAGGAATTTGATAAAGGCACGGCGGAAATGTATTGAATCTGTTGATAAAATATTATGGACAGTGTTGGTTGATTAAAGTGTGTCATAATTCAGTAATGATGATAATTCATATAGACGCACCTGTTGTAACCTATGTTAATTTCGCGGAGAGACTTTAAATGAGAAAAATCAGCAGGTAACTCGGATAGTTGATTGTTCTGTAAAGTAAGGTACTGAAGCCGTGAGCATTTGCTAAGGGATGATGGCACATCTGTCAAACGGTTGAAGTCCAGTTTTATTTCCACTAACCATTCTTGACACAACTCGATTCTGTAAAAAAATCAACAACTACATATGTATAATAGTTTATCCTGCATTACAATATCTGACGTTTACTTACGATGAGGGAAGAGTCATCATCATATTCTTTGAGAGATCAATGCAAGTGACTGCATTATCCGCAGCAAGTTGAAACACATTGGTTTCAAGGTTTACAATTTGTCTGCCAGATAGCAACAGATTTCTCGACGCTTTACATTTAAATGGATCAATCCCCAACTCCTCCACAGATACACCACCGCTTTTTCGACGACTTGGAGATTTAGATTTTCTAGAAGGAAGAGGACGAGGAGGAACTACCAAATCACTACTACCCCCATTTGTGGTAACGACATTATTAACGGGAATATTTCTTTCCGGCAATAAATCCACTCCTGTGTCGCCACGTTCTGAAGATTCCGATAATCGCAATCTTCCTCTCAAATATTTTAATACTTCTTGAGTTCCACGTTGAAGAATATCGAGACGAATTCCACGAATTGGATTCCCATCCAAGGTCAAAGCCTTCAGCGAGGGAAGTAATGCTAAATCATCGGGTAATCTATTTTATGAATAAATATTTTACATATCATGTGAGAATAATGAGAAATAAGGTACTAGCAATTTGTTTAGAAAAAATTACTCTGCCAGGTTATTGTTATCCAAATAAAGTCTGTCGAGAAATTCCATATCCTCGCAATCAAGTTGTAAATCGTCAATTTTGTTGTTACGAAGGTCAAGCAGGTTAATCTTTGTGTTTGACAGCTTCTCAAAATTTACGGCACGGATAAGATTATTCTGAAGATAAAGCTCTTTTAAATTTTTGGCTTTTGAGACGTCTGGCATTTGTTCTAATTTGTTCCGTTGCAGATATAAGATTTCCAAATGAACCAATTCGGATAATCCGGCAGGACATAGTTTCAAACAGTTGAATGACACATCTAGAGTTCGCAAGCCTAAAAGTGGAAATTTGAAAAATAAAATTGATTATAGACAAATTTAGTGATTACTATCTACTATCTATACATACATGTGTATGTTAGGTTACTATTTATTAATGCTATTAAATAAATTAACCTGATAACCCTCCGATTTCCTCTGGTAGCTCGGTTAGTTGATTATTTGACATCTAACAAATCATTAAGACTCTTACTGTTACATGTTAAATAAATAATTATGCTAGGTGTTAAAGTTAATGTCTCAGAATCTTACGATTAATGTCTGCAGAAAACTTAGAAAACCCAAGTCACCAGGAAATTTAGAAATATTATTATGAGAAATGTTGAAAGTACGAAGACTAGTCAAATTTCCAAAACATGCCGAAATTTCTTCCAACGAATTATGACTCAAGTTAAGTTCTACAAGCCGTTTCAATTCTCCAAGTTCTTCAGGAAGGGTTGTCAACATGTTATGACTGAAACGAAATTTTGAACAGTTTTGAATAAAAAAAGTTATTATAATCTTAAAATTTCATTCCAGCCTTGTTATTTAAAATTTTACCTGAGATCTAATTTCGACAAGTTGGTCAATTTTCCTAAATCCTTTGATACAGTGATAATTTGGTTGTCGTGAGCCTGCAATATTTACAAATTTCTGAGTTATGTCGAAATATACTTTAAAAGAAACGAGTATTTTCGAATTACGTCGAACGTTTGTAACGAGTGTAGATTACTAATGTCGCATGGGACATTTTTAATGTAATTATTGGCAATAATTAGTTTCTGCAAGTCCACAAACTCCCACCATTTGTCTTCTGAGTTATCGTCTAATGAAACGCTAACGGTTAACCGTTCATTTTCGTCAAGTTCATTAATGCGCCAAACTTTCATAGGAACTACAAATTAAATAGCACCAATTTCATGAGAAATTCCTCAGTAGATATATATAATAACTAATGAGTATTTCGTGTACCGCTTATCAAATTTCTTCCTGACAAGTTCAACACTCCACTTTTCCTTGCGTTCTTGACCAGAGCTGCAGATATACTTTGAGTGTCCACCTCATCATGAAAGAGCGATGTCTATAGTTTAATAGATGACAAAGCATTGACATCAACATTTCCATTAGGATGTAATTAATACAGAATATTATGAATCGTTACCATATTTGAGACTCGAGCATTCGCCTGAACGAACGCTCTAACGCTGGGGTCCTTGGACGGTTGACATGGCCTGGATTGATTCCCTTTCTGAGATCGTGGAAATGTCGACGTTCCCGTTGAAGATGTCGACTTGAGCGAACTGGCCGATCCAGTAGGTTTGCTCTTAATTGAACTGGTCGTGCTAGCAGAAACATTTGTCGTAGAACTCGTTGTCGTCAACAGTGTCCCAGTCGTGACACGTTTCCGGCCAGTATCAATTTTTGACGTAATTTTCTTTAGTCCCGTCCCAGTCACCACTGGGGGTAAGTTTCCGAGACAACTTTTCTTCATGGCGTAAGAGAGAAAGTGGTGTGAGTCGCACTTCCGGTAGTAAATATGAAACCCACCGAAATTTATTAAAATACGTGTCTAGCAATATTTCAAATTCGAAAACAAACTGGTAATTCAGAAAGAATCTGTTGCATACATATTAATATGTACTTTGTCGTCGTATCGTATAACTTCCTAATCAATAACGGACAAATAGACTTTTTTGCTCAGGTGCCTATCTATTTCTTTGTTGTTCCGTTATCATCACGTCGGAAAATGCAAATCCATCATGTCAAACAAATCACCACAAATGTTTCCTCTTCCTGTGCAGTTCATAAAATACAACTTTATAATAATAAATTATCTGCGATATATATATTTACACACAAAATAACGATAGACCACAAAATGTGACAGAAAGAAGAGAGAACCTGGATTGAGAGAACCTGGATTGAGAACGGGTTGAAATCAGGTGGTGAGCTTTGTTGTCTCATTATTCATGAGTTTTTAACGGCTTCTTCTCCTTATTAAAATACCACCGTCCATCCAACCGTCCAAGTAGTAAGTTTGCATGTGAAATTCCTATGCTACAAAGGCAATTCGTTCGTACATCTTACATACACAGTCGACAATTCGATTTCTTTAAAACCTCTGACGCAAGAGGACCTGCCCAGTCCGACTTTAAACGGTTGCAGCGCAGCATAAAACCATGTACATGCATACACGTTTTTAAAACAGATTTCGTTTCAGTTTATTTCAAGTAAAAATTATGGTTTATTATGTAACAAGCAAGTTTAATATGAAGAGTAGAATTTACATTACACAAATATTATTTCGTATATGCAGTTTTGGTAAGAAAGATTATTTGGTGTACACAAAATTGTTACACAAAACTATAATTATCCGAGAGAAACAACGGGTTCAAATCAATTTCCTCTTTTATATCCGCACATTAGTTCGCATCGATGATGATCATTATGTACAAAACTACAAATTAGAGGACTGTTGTTGTTGTTCCTGCCTACTGCAAATGCCACTTGTGGTCGAAGGATCGGAAAGGAGTACGTGGTGTCCAGGTGAAAGTTGGTGAGGGTGAAAATGATGACCATTTCCGAGCTGATGATGATGGTTATGATTATGGCTGATAAGTTGGCCTGTGCCGGAAGGATGTGAGAATATGCCTGGTGTTTGCGAGGGTCCACCTGGTGGTGGGGACAGTGGGGCCAGGCCGGAGGGATGTTGGTGATGGAAATTCCCATTATTGGGAAACAGCCATAATCGATCACCCAAAACCTGAATTAAAATATTTATGGCGTAAAGTTGCACGATACAAATTGTAAAATGCTTAAAATATATAAAATAATACCATGGGTCGAGATGACACCAATCCAAGAGCCGAGTAGTATTGTTGTGCTGCTAGTTCCAACTCTGAGGTGTACCTTTTTATATAAAACAAAAATTTTAAGGTTCACTTCTTTAACTTTTAATTTTTGTCATTTTACTCACTTTCTTTTCCACTTGGTCCTACGATTTTGAAACCATATTTTGATCTAGTAAAAAAAGAATAGTTGTCTAATTGTTGCATATTTAGCCATGCTGAAAAATTAGTCTTATCCTGGACATAAGTTTTTGACATAATTATTATCTACTAAATAAATACTGTACAGTTTATGTTTTTACCTGCGTCTCCGTAAGCTTTAGCGTCCTCGCCAACTGGCTTCTCTTGGCCACTGAGAGATACTTATTTCTTTCAAACTCTGACTCGAGTGCTTTCACTTGAGACGCCGTGAACGCGGTACGGGGGCGTTTCTTCCGCTCCTCTTTCCCATCATCGCCAAGTGCGGTGTGGTGTTCTGAAAATAAAAACAATGAATACATAAACTATTCATTTTATTTCCCAACGACACTCATCTTTATGTTGCAACTATTGCCTATTAAGCACAAGCAGGAATTTTCATGCGGGTGAAATCAACCATTAAATTTTGCATTTGCAATTTATCCTCAACCAAGCAACCCTCTGCATGAATCCAGATCGAACCATGTGAACCACTAATGATCACGACGACGTCCCGTCACACATAAATCTTGCGAGTTGACTAATTGTAGACTGAAAACGGAGCCGGTCGGGAAATCGGTCCATATTATACCGAATTCTTGCCAAGTGACAACCGATCTCTCTCATTTTAGGCCAATTAGTGTCTTCTAATCCCCTCACTTATCATCATCAAAGAGTAAAATTGGAAATTCTGGATCATCATGAATACATAGAGCAGAAATGTCCCACCTTCACAAAACCCCATTCGTTGGATTCACTTCCCCTCCTTCTAAAACAAAAATCTTCATATGCATGAACTTTAAAAAAATCCGATCACCATAAAAATACAAATATATATGCAAATACGCATAATGTAATTAGAAGTCAAGTTATTTTATAGGTACGTAAGCTACATTTAAGCCCATCGCAATTGTTTACATAATAATATAATGCATTATTTCTCCGTAACAAGGAAGAGAACCCCACTTAGCTCGTTTATCTCCTTAAATGCGAGATAATGGCGATAATTTGCAACAATATACAACCACACACTCTTCTTTACACCGACGAAAGACTGGGAGCAGTAAATTTTATTTGGCTTAAGTGCGAGGCTAATGGTAATTGCAAATTAGCATAGAATTACGACCATTATTACATACATTTTAGCAAATATCCTGCCACTCATGTAGTCATAATATGTGTGTGTCGTACTGTATTGTACTGCCTGCCTGTTGAAGAGGATCATAAAAGGTTAGCATTTTGGTGGCTACAATCTGTGTGTAATTTATCGCGTAATTGGTGACTCCTTACTGACACTGTAACACACAAAAGATAGGCAGGTGGTCATTACAGAAGAAAAAAAGCGTTCCGTAATTAATTTGTGGTGATGATTTGCATGTGATAATATCAATAACATGGGGCAAGTTTTTTAAAAATGAATCAACAAAAATAAATTCTTTTCTACAAATTGTAATATTAGTTGTAGATAAACAGTTTCCTTCCTGACTGGCAAATATCTGAGACTTGTTTTTTTCCTCTCTTTCAAAACTATTGCCAAAATTTGCGAAACGACATCAATCTTCATTAAGCATTCGAAAAGGGTTCCAATTACAGTTTACCCTAAATGAAAAGCGCTTTGGAGGTGAATTATTTGTATTTGGTCGTACGAACGTAGTGGCCAAGATAAATCTGAAATTGGGTGGCGTTGGCATCTTAATAGAAATTTATTTGAATGGCTTAAACAACCCCAAGAATTTACAAGTGGCTCTCTTGCGGAAAATTTTACTGCCATCAAATCAACATTTTTGATTCAATGCCACAAAAAAAGAGACCCACACAATCTATTTCAGGTCTGCACTGCACTGCACTCAAATCTAATGACCAATTAAGCAAATAAGTCATGATCATAATTGTAGTAAATATTTTCAGCAATGCAAACTTGTAAATAATTAAATTATGAAAACATACATTCAGAAACCATAAAGTCGTATAAATGAATAAATAATGTACAACTCGTCTCATTTCTTGCGCCGTCGTTCTCCCCCTTCATCCTCCTCCTCCCATATTCTGAAGGACTACTGGTGGACCATGTAAATATGTACGTATGAAAATAATTACGAACAAGTGTTTGGTTTGGTAGTTCCTTGTTGGAACTCGTATTTGGTGGCGATGGTGTGAGTGTATTATTGACTATTACAATTTTATTGCGGATTTCCATGTTCTCCTTTTTGACTTATGACATGTTGACACGCAAAGAAAGGAGGAAATACCAACCAGGTCGATCTCTGTGGTGAAGTTTAAGATTGCATTATCATGATCCATGCATGCATGTTGGTGGCAAAATGTGTGCTAGAAGCCCTCAGTGTGGTGGAGGTTATGCCTAAATTTCACCCTCTTCTTGGTTAGCACAACCCACCGAAAAGCAAATCTAGAATCTCGACCGAAAAGGAAAGATAGCAATCAGAAGTTTTGAAATGAAAAACAAAATGGTCAGTTAGGCTCAAGATTTATGGGTGGAGTGATATGATAAAGGGCACGTCATGAAGTGATTCAACCCAACGAAACTCCTAATAAATGTACCAACTCGTACATATGTATGCACACATTCGAATGAGAAGCTACTCCCATTTTTCAATTCATAAGTTAAATATATTTTCGGCTCTTTTTGTGCACAACTGTTTGTTGCATTGCAAAAGTTTCAGGGATCGTCATGATTTTCCCGCAGCAAGTGATTGTTAAGCCTTTTTTAACTAATTGGTTAACAGTGGAGACTCATATTTTTGTAATCTTGGTTGAATGGTGTGATTGATTCCATTGTAGTTTTTCTCTATACACGGCTAAATCACGACTAGTTTGAAGAATGCAACAATGAGACGCGATTATTAAGCTCTTTTCACTACCAGATGGATTGTTGATTTAAACAATTTGTCTTGTTGGCAACGTGTGTAGGATGAAAAAACTTGAGAGCATTTTAATGAAATGTGTATCGTCATGTTTCAAATTCAAGGGCTATTTGCGCAGTTTAACGAAGTAGCTATAAATACTAAACTTATCTGTAGCGTACTAGCACTAGTTGTTTACAATAGAAGAGATATGCAGCCATACAAATATGTAGATACATACGTCTAATAGTTAGTTTCTCACCTTCATTCTCAATTTCCCCGTCCATATCGTCCATGTCCTCCACCATGGCATCTTCATCGCCAGCATCATTTTCCAAGTCTGCTTTCATAATACGAAACATGATTCCGTCCTTCTCGTTTCCATTCGGGATAATGAATCTCATTGTGTCATTGTCTTTGTCCAGCCCAGGAGGACTCGATCCGTCGGTGGTGTCCTCACTCTCCCCAGAGGACAACTCGAGCATGTCTGGTCCAGCACTTTCCGTACAATTAGCCACACTTTTTCTGCACGATTTCATACTGGCACGAGCATTCACACTTTGATCGTGATAGCCTGACTTTGTTCGTCGTCTTCCTCCTTCGTCAAATGGAGGAGCTGCAGCATTGTTGAGTGAATCTGCAAAAAAATGAGGAAGGAAGGAATTTTAAAACGATGAGTTCTATCTTCTTGAGAACAAAAAAATGATATAACTGATGTGCGTGTGGAGCCAAATGAATTCAAAATGCAGACTGGGCAGACGGACGAATAGATAAACGCTGTTACACAACAAATATTCGGATTGGTGGATGGAGAGAAAGGTGGTCGAGAAAATACAGAACAGGAGAAAAAATTCTACAATAGCTGATTTTATGCACATAATATGTACACATACGTTTAATAAATTTTCGATAAAAATTTACCAGGTCTGAAATATCCAAAAACGCTGTCCAACCCACTGCCACATCTTTTAGCATGATTATTTTCTCCATTGTTGTTATTCATAATGATGCTGCCGTTGATTTTCCGACGGGTCTGACCACTGTCATTGTCAGCGAGAACAGAATCCTCATCCCGACTTTGTTCATGGTCATGTGTGAAGGAATTTATTACGGGAGCACTACAAAGGCGACGATGATTAACCGATTGGTCACACTCGTCGGAATCAAGTCTCAGCCCTTTTTCTTGTTGGGGGCAATTACTGTCTCGAGATGGAACAATGCCACTGCCACTGGAACAACCATGCCCAATCTGCAGCCAGGACTTTTTGTCAGACGACTCTGACAACCGTGGCTGACCATTTAAAATCGAATCGATGGAGAATAAGCTTTTTTGAGCCATTTCTGTAACACTGCTTAATTGCTAATGACACTTTTTGACTCTGATCAGTTGAACAAACTTGAAATGCAGAATGGATAATGAAGCCTTGCTAAAATTTCTTGTTCGGACTGCACCGAACTTTAAACTGCTCCCACTACCATGGCACACCACCCATTCCGATTTAAGAAGAAGGGAAAGTAGTGAACTCCTTATTTCCGTCCATTGATAGCCCACTTACTCGAACATCCAATAAGATCATTTTTAAGCTGAACGTCTCCATGTGGCCGTGTCGTTGTGGGAGAAGAGACACTTATCCACAGACGAGTTTTCTTAATAAGAAACATTTACACTCCCATTTCATTTCATTGCGGTATTAAGTTTCTTTAACAAGCAGATCATTTCTTCCTCCAGAAGAGAAAACTGAGCTGAATATGCACAAGTTCCTACTTGCTAACAATGTCATTTGGCTTCTTGTAATAAGGATTTAGTGAAGGAGATCATCTTTTAAAGTGTATTTGAGACAGGATTTAAGGACAGTACAAAAGTTGGGGGAAGTGTTGGAAATAAGTGAATTGGATAATCAGTATCAGGCTGACGGAGATACATACGCTTTCACGGTTCGTGATAAGTAATGACGACGTGAGCTAACCAACTCTTAACCAACCAACCAGTTACTCCTCATTGCAATAATATTACAACAACGTATCAGTTCAATGTGTGTGCGATTTTGGAAAATGTGGGGGAGGGTGCAAGCATAATATTTCTTAAAATCCGAGATTAGACCGTGTATGAGTCCAACTCTGAGAAGTGGGGGACACAATCTTCATGCGGGTTCTCTTGGCTTCCGAGTCTGAAATTTGTCACCGAGTTAATGAAGAGGAACGTGGGGAATAAATGATTGGGAAATGGGGAGATAATGAGTGAGTACCAAAAGAGAGGAAACATATTCACACCAAGCCAAAGGCCAACCCTCTACCAGACTCCGTGAAATCGGATCCACATGTTCCTCTCTCCGAACAAAGCTAAAAGGCAAGGCTCGTCCTGTTACAGTTACCACTTTCGATTCTCGATCATCAGTGTATGCAATACACTTCCCCCAAAGCTAACCAAGTTTAAAGTAGTGCGTAATGAGGATATATTTACTATGCATCCATTTATTTATTTACGTGATGTGTTGATTCTTGCAATGGAGGTTTCCCAGCGTATGCTCTCAGATTTTGACCGAACTAGCGTCAATCGATCACAAGTTGAAGTAGTATGAATAAAATGTTTAAGCTTGACTGTAGGCGTAAAATTGATGCTGACATTAGCAAGAATGGGGTATGGAAAACCAAAAAACAACTATTCATGAGGAATCAAACTAATAATCCGCTGGATATTGATATACTCAATGACTTTTATGCAGGTGTATCGAATGAGGAGTTTGATTGTGTGCACCCCACTAAACCATCTGGACTTGATTATGACGCACAATTTAAATTTACAAAAATAACCACTTATGACTTAATACGTGTATACAACAAACTGAGAACTAGAACTAGGACGGCTCATGACAGCACAGGTCTTGCACCAATTATGCTTAATTATACGATCAGGTGTCCAAGCATAAGCGATGCTCTTACCAAACTTGTGAATGGGTCATTAATGCAAGAGGAATTTCCGAATTGTCTGAAAACTGGGTCTATTACACCATTGCCAAAAATTGATTCACCAATGGAACCAGCGCACTATCGTCCTGTAGCTGTGCAACCCTTCTTGTCTCTAGTTATTGAAAAAGTGGCCCATTCACAGATTGTTAAGCACTTCGATGACAACAATATGTTATATAGAGGGCAGTTTGGCTTCAGGAACAGGCACTCATGCGAAACAGCAATGGTGGCTGTTACTGAATCCATATATGAACAGCTAAACAAAGGTAATATTTGTATATTAGCAGCATTAGACCTGTCGCGTGCATTTGACGTCATTGTGAGGGAAATACTTTTTGAAAAGCTCAGTTGGTATGGTGTTAATCCTAAATGGTTTAGATCTTATCTTAGTTATAGGGCGCAAGTTGTCAAAGGTCCAGACGGGAAAATCTCCGGAGTGCGTTACACGGTGCGTGGATGCCCCCAGGGTAGTGTTTTAGGCAGTTTTGTATTTTGTGTCTACATTAATGATCTTCCATTAGTGGTGCAACATTGTCTCATGGTGTTATTTGCGGATGACAGTCAGCTTTGCATTAGTGGTCACCCTAGTAAGATAAATGAGATTATTGACAAATTGACGACTGATTTGACTGCTGTGGTTGACTGGATGGAACGTAACGGCATGAAACTAAATTTGGGAAAGAGTCAATTAATTGTATTTGGTAGTGCCTCAAATCTGAGTAAAGTAGGTCAGATTAGCATTGACATTGGTGGGGTCAAAATAGTAAGCCAGGACCAGATAAAAAGTCTTGGGCTCATTTTGGACTCAAAGATGTCTTGGTATAACCACATAAATTCTTTATCCCGAAAATTCCATTATGTAGCACGGTCAATATATCCTCTTAAACCTCTAATGACGCAGAGGAACCTCATATTGGTTTTTAATGCATGCTTAATTTCACTTTTAAACTATATGATTGCAATATGGGGGTCCTCTTGTGCAAAAAATTTGAAAATAATTGAAAAAGGTGTGCGACATGTCGCAAGAGTCATTTTAGGTCGCAAAAGCTATGAACCAATTTGTAGCATAATGCAGAATGAACTGAAATGGATGTTACCTAAACAAAACTATTATTATAAATCTCTATGTTTTTTATATTCAATACAGAATAACGAAATTCCATTTTTTGAAGGTTTTATTAAAAAATGCATGACTTTTTATAGATATCCAACCAGATCCGCTCTTAATTTGAGAGGTAACTTCTGTCCAAGAAACAGAATCGGAGAGAGAAGTATACATTTTCACCCTGTTAGTGCATGGAATGATCTCCCGATAAATATAAGAAATTGTACGGATAAGAAGACTTTCAGAGTAAAACTAAGAAACCACATTTTAACTAAAGGTACGAATACATTTTAATTATACTCGTTGTACATAATTGCATAACCTATACATGACACTAAACTATACTGTACTAAGTCTCTAATTATATTTATACATATCACCTAATTTATTCAGTTATTTGACAAATTTACGACAAATTCATGTAATGTGAAATTACTAATATGTCAGGCATAACGAGCTTTTGTAAAGAAGCAAGCTTGATTAATAAATAAATAAAAAATAAAAATAAAAATATGAAATTTGCAAAAGATATTATCTCCCAATGCTCAGGTTTGACACAGATATTTGCATCGGAAGAGGAGAAAGCGCTCAGTAAATTTGGAAAGTGCAAAATTGGTAACTTTAGGGGGTATTTTCTCCTCTTCAGATGCAAATATCTCCGACAAACGCGACCAGATCGTGTCTTTTACAAATTTTGTATTGCTTAAATTTATGATCGATTGACACTAATTTGCCCAAAATCTGAGAGCATACACTTGGAGACCTCCATTATTAATTAAGCCAGCACAACCGTATTTTTACCCAGTAGTTTGTAGTCAAGATCCGTTTTACTACGATTTGATTAGAATCATGAGCACTGCGTTTATTTAGACAATGATAACATTTTGAAAAGGTTTTCAGTGGTTTTCACACCAAATTTTGTTTGGTATTTATGTCAAGATTTGCAACATAGTTTGGCTGGGCGGTATCAGCTCTCAACAACTTGGAGTAATAAAAGGAAGCAAGCATTCGTATAGATAGCACCTCCCGCTGTCTACGTACATACGTAAATATAGATAAGTTAGTGTGTTATGCAGCCAATTAGCTCTGAAAGACAAGATCATCTCGTCTCTCTCTGCGTACGTAGAAAAGCACACTCATCTTGAACCACACTTGGAAATGTTTCAGTTTATTTAAACGCAACACTTTCATTTAACGAACCACACTTTAAAGTCAACTGAGCGGAGGACATGTCAATTTTTGTGGTGGTAATTGGCGTCCTCCTCGAATTACTCCTAATTGGCTCTTCATCTCTGGAAATAAAAATATTTTCCTACCAGCTCCTGCTCCCACTCCGCTAAACGAAGCCAATAATGATGGACGATGTGTCTCATTCATTTAAATGGGCACATTTCACCCTTTATTACCACCGCAATTAGAAACAGAAGAAGACCAAGGAAGGAGACGCAGAGAGAGAGAGATGGGCAAATGAAGGAGTCAAATTGCATAATATACGCCGTTCCTGCCAACTAAATCAGTTCACAAAGTAATCGTTATTTCTAGATGTGTGTGTATGCATTTGGGTGGTGTTCGCCATTTGCTGTACGTTGCACAATATATGTACACTCTTAAAAATAATGCTATGAATAAATTCTTTTGAGAAGCAATTACACACTGAATTCTGTATTAAGTTACTAAATCCAGAGTCACGTTAACTCTGGAGTTTACGTAATATACAGAATTCAGAGCACATTTACTTTTTAACGCGTAACACTATTTTTAAGAGTGCATTCACCGTGTGAAACGGTTCACTGTAAAATAAGCGGTTTGTCGTCGTCGTAAAGGAAGAAAATGGAGATCCGATTTCTATTACCCGCAGTGCAACTTCAGCAAATTGACGAGTGTGCGAATATTGTATCACATTTTCCCTTTGTCCAACTAATAGGTGTTCATTCTTCTCTCTCTCGTAAAGGCTTTTGGTGTTTCCTGCACGGCTAAATATGTTTCCGACGACGACGGGAGAAGAACCTGAAATAAAATGATCCAGACCCGGCCACGCTAGGCGCCAGGGTACGGAACACAGTGCAGGGCTTTACCTCTCGGAACTATAATTAGTTCTGACAACAACGCGAAACTTGGTTTTGGATGTGGTGTAAGTATTTATGTTGGACTTTTCTTGAAGGAAGTCACCCCACGAGAAGCAACCTACAAACCAGACCGGCCAGAAATGATTATTGTTATTATTATTGACGGCTCTCCTAAAAATGATGTATTTCTCCCCCGTCTCCTTTCCAGTCCGTCTCCCTTAAGGTTCACGAGGTACTACGAACGTAGTAGAGCAGCCAAGAGATGGATTGGCCTAGTTTTTTAATGTCCGTGTGTATTTTATAAATTTCCATGTCCGTCGGTGTTACAAAGATTGGACGGCGTCAAGTTTATTGTCCATCCATCCTTATCATGGATAAATTTTGTAGTGAAACGCAATTCATGGCAAATAATATGAAACATTTTTTACATCGGAAAACATTTTTGTCCTGTTTTTTTTCACGGCATCCTTCAAAATATATTACCCTCTGCAGTTTAAGGTGCGCAGTGTCCTTGCGTAATTGCTGCGATTCTCGTAGTACTACTACCATTGCTGACAAGAATCGAACATGGTGCGTGCCATTTGATTGATTTGCTTCGAT